TTGGACAACGTTTTAACTAGGAGACGCAAATTATTTATGTCTTGTTGATCTTGTTATGGTTTTATATTATATATTAATGTTTTAAAATATTTAAAATATGTTTATGGTGTTGTTTGGCGTTGAATTGTTGCCTCTGTCAATCACCTTGAGTCGCCTGCAGGCTGAGAGGGGTGGTATACAAATATAGTAAATAAATAAATAATACTACATGTAATATTACTAATAACATTACAATATAATGGTATAGTACAATATAGTAATATTTAACACTGATATTGTACTATGCTAATAATATAATGTGTGTATGTGTGTGTATGTATATATGTGTGTGTGTGTGTGTGTGTGTGTGTGTGTGTGTGTGTATATATATATATATATATATATATATATGTAAGTAATATTTGTTTGTGGGATTAACAGAACTCAAAAACTACTGGACGAATTGACACCAAATTTGGACACAAGACACCTAACAACCCAATGTATGCCCTTCACTCAAAAAAATTGATTTTGTCATTTGGGAGTTGTAGTTGCTGGGATTTATAGTTCACCTACAATCAAAGAGCATTCTGAACCAACAATGGAACTGAACCAAACTTGGCACACAGTTCTCCCATGACCAACAGAAAATACTGGAAGGGTTTGGTGGGCAGTGTCCTTTGGTTTTGGAGTTGTAGTTCACCAACATCTAAGAAGACACTGTGGACTCAAACAATGATGGATCTGGACCAAACTCCACACGAATACTTAATATGCCCAAATGTAACACTGGTGGAGTTTGGGGAAAATAGAATCTTGACATTTGGGAGTTGTAGTTGCTGGGATTTATAGTTTACCTACAATCAAAGAGCATTCTGAACCCCACCAACAATAGAATTGGACCAAACCTCCCACACAGAACCCTGCCAGTGGGCCACAGCAACGCAGGGCAGGGGATGGCTAGTATAAATAAATATTACAATATGCTAATAATATAATATAGTGTGTGTGTGTGTATCTATCTATCTATCTATCTATCTATCTTGTAAACCGCTCCGAGTCCCCTTCGGGGTGAGAAGGGCGGCATATAAATGTCGTAAATAAATAAATATTTCAGAGGAAAAAGGAACTCTGGGGATTCCAATGAAATCTATTATAAATTATTATTATTTGAACCCCAGTCCAAAGTTGTAATCCAGCACTCAAACCTCTACTTATGTACATAGGTTGTGGATTTTAAATGGCATTGGTTTCGATGTTGTGGGCCGCCTTGCATCTCAATCAAAGAGATAAAAGCAGATTTATGGCAACAATAACAACAATATACCATGCTTCCTCTCTCTAGAAACTGTCTAGGTGTCTTTCTCTTCAGAATATCAGGCCCAGCAACCACAACAACAACAAGACATTCTGCCTCTCTCCAACAACAACAACAACAACAACAACAACAACAACAACAACAACACATTCTGCCTCTCTCCAGAAACTCTACAAGGATCTTTCTCTACAGAGGAAGAGGCCTTATCTTACTTCAGGCCGACTTATGTTCAACAGGGTTGTTGTAAGTTTTTTGGGCAGTCTGGCCATGTTCCAGAAGCATTCTCTCCTCACGTTTCTCCTGCATCTATAGCAGGCATCCTCAGAGGTTGTGCCATACAACCTCTGAGGATGCCTGCCATAGATGCAGGCGAAACATCAGGAGAGAATGCCTCTGGAATATGGCCAGACAGTCCAAAAAACTTACAACAACTCAGTGATTCCAGCCATGAAAGCCTTTGACAATACATCATGTTCAACACACGACCTACATCCATTCATCTCACTTATTCCACCAAATCTACAGGTTCGACTTTTGCGGATTTGATTTTAAAGGTTCCCTCCACGAATCTCTAGTTTTTCTAGTGGGATTTGTATGGTTGCTTTCCATAAAGTCGTGCTGGAAGACCCAGCCATTCCTAGAGGGGTTAAATTAAAAAATAGCCATTTCCCTTTCATGCTATCGATCCATAATACAAACACAACACCAACATCTTCAATGTGCGCATTAAAATGCAAATACAATACAAACCCGATAGACTTAACACCATCAATAACCCAAGCACAATGCTGATACTATTATCAACATTAAGCCCACTGCCTATAATGTAACTATAGTCTAAATGCGATTGATCGTGTTATTCTAGCTCTGCATAATATGAACCATGTAAACACGACTGTCACACGCACGATCTATGAGATGAATGCGATTACCAATGTCACACACTTTCAATTTCTCATACAAATGCAACAGAGATGCAAATACACCTCTTGTATATGAAAGCGTTATAAATCCTATTAGCGTTACTTGCATACATCATTCAATATAAACACTATTAACATTCATACAAGCGTATGCCAAAATTACCACTCTGTGTGTATATATGTATGTGCCTGTCTTTTCTCTCAGTGTGTATACTCTCTTCTACCATATATAAACATTTGCATGTCTCATCTGTGTGTATATATACACATATATTCTCCCTGCCTCTTCTAGGTTTGTGTGTATATCTAAGTATGTTTGTGTGTGTATCTAGGAGACGAGATCTTCTTGATGTGTATATATGCTCATCTCAAGGTATAGGAGACTTTATATTTTGGTGTCTGTGTGTGTGTGTGTGTGTGTGTGTATATATATATGTGTGTGTGTGTGTGTGAGTATCTATCTAAAGTATATCTTTTTGGTGTCTGTATATGTGTGTGTATGTATTCATATATCTGAGTATATCTTCTTGGTGTGTATGTGTGTGCATATATCTATGTATCTACATATATGAGTAACTTGGGATGTGTGTGTGTGAATATATCTATCTATCTATCTATAGAGGAAACTTTCTTTTTGGTGTCTATATTTATAGATAGATATGTGTGTATCTATATAAGTGAGTATATCTTCTTTGTGTGTGTGTGTATACACACACACACCTACAAGACTATATCTTCTTGGCTACACACACACGAGAGACTATATTTTTTGTGAATTTATGTGTGTGTTTATCTATGAGACTATATCTTCTTGGCTATACACACATACATATGACAGATAATATCTTTTTGGTGTGTGTTTATATCTATGAGACTGTATCTTGTCTCTGTATATATATATACACACACACACATATGCATGCACACACTTATACACACGGAAGGCTGTATCTTTTTGGTGTGTGTTTATATATGTGTGTTTATATCTATGAGACTATCTTCTCTGTATATATATATATACACACACACACATACAGATATACATATGGATACACACACATATACACATAGAAGGCTCTATATTTTCGGTGTGTGTTTATATCTACGAGACTTATCTTCTCTCTGTATAAATATATACACACACACAATAATACACACGGAAGGCTATATATTTTCAGTGTGTGTTTATATATGTATCTATGAGACTATTATCTTCTCTCTGTATATATATACACACACATACAGATATGCAAATAGATTCACACACACACACATACATGGAAGGCTCTATCTTTTCGGTGTGTGTTTATATATGTGTGTTTATATCTATGAGACTATCTTCTCTCTGTATATATATATATATATATACACACACACATATGGATATACACGTGGAAGGCTGTATCTTTTTGGTGTGTGTTTATATATCTGTGTTTATATCTATGAGACTATACTCTCCACACACACACACATACAGATACACACACACACGGATATACACACGGAAGGCTATATCTTTTGGTGTGTGTTTATATATGTGACTATGAGACTATCTTCTCTCTGTATATACACACACACACACACACACACACACACGGATATACATATGAATACACACAATTATACACACAGAAGGCTATGTCTTTTCAGTGTGTGTTTATATATGCATGTGTGTATATATATATGAGACTCTCTTCTTGGCTTGTGCCTATATAGGTTGTATCTATGTGACTATATCTTGGTGTGTGTGTTTGTGTGTGTGTGTACACTGATAAACAAAACATACACCTGTGTGTTTCTGTGTTTGTGTGTGTAAATCTGCCTATGTCTTCAGATAAACAAAACATACACCAGTGTGTGTGTGTTTGTGTGTGTATTATATATGTGTGTGTGTGTGTATATATTTGAGACTCTCTTCTTGGTTTGTGCCTGTATAGGTTGTATCTATGAGACTATCTTGGTGTGTGTGTTTGTGTGTATATATATTTGAGACTCTCCTCTTGGCTTGTGCCTATATAGGTTGTATCTATGAGACTATTTCTTGGTGTGTGTGTTTGTGTACACAGATAAACAAAACATACACCAGTGTGTGTGTGTGTGTGGTATGTATGTGTGTATGTGTATATATATATATATATATATATATATATATATATATTTGAGACTCTCTTCTCGGTTTGTGCCTATATAGGTCGTATCTATGAGACGATATCTTGGTGTGTGTGTATGTATATGTGTACACAGATAAACAAAACATACACCAATGTGTGTGTGTTTTTGTGTATGTAAATCTGCTTATGTCTTCAGATAAACAAAACATACACCAAGAAGTCAGGCCTGTCTTCTTGGTGTATGTTTTGTTTATCTGAAGACATAGGCAGAGTGTATGTATATGTGTACACAGATAAACAAAACATACACCAGTGTGTGTGTGTGTGTATGTGTGTGTATGTAAATCTGCCTATGTCTTCAGATAAACAAAACACCAAGAAGACAGGCCTCTCTTCTTGGTGTATGTTTTGTTTATCTGAAGGCAGATTTACACACACACACATATACACATCACATATACACATCACATATACAGACATACATATATATCAATAAACCCAAGCCTTCCCCTCTCTTCTGGGTCTATCAGAGATTCCAATATGGATTTTAGGACCCCATTTTTCCCCCTAGGCCTCAGGCACCCTCCACCTTCGCTGGATCCCGGTTCCCTTTCCACGAAGCCCCGGCTTTGCTTCGCTTCTCCTCGCGCCCCGCCCGGCTGCCTTTACCGGAGACGACGAGGGCCTCGTTGGGCCCCACCGTGTGGCAGTTGCCCATGGCGCCTCCTTCCTTCCCAGCCGGGGACGCACGCTCCAGCCGAAAAGCAGCGGGTCCCCTTGGTGTTCCGGAGGATCCGCCGCGGCCAGGGCTCCTCCTCCGCCGCCGCCTCCTTCCCTTCCTTCCCTTCCCTTCCTTCCGCCCCGGCGACGCCCTCCCAAGGAGGAGGAGGAAGGGAAGGCCCGAAGCCAGGAAAGAGCGGGAAAGGCCGCGCCTCGGAGGCGCCATCTTGGGCGCCGAGGCCTAGTGAGGCCTTCAAGGCAGAAACAAGCCTTCTCGAGTGGAAATGTCTCCCCCAATTTATTTATCGTGTCACCAGCAACCATACCATTGTATTACAGTGGTTTGCTCCTCTCCACACTCGCATGTCGTGGATTCCACTTTGTGGCCCCATTTCTTAAGGTCGGCTCTGCATCTCGTGGTGCCAGAGCGCAGTCTGTTCAGCCCCTTCCAAGTCACCCCGTCTTCTGTGTGCCCAGGAGGGAGTCTCTCATTGGGTATGAGCCATTGGTTTGAGCCTGCCACTTTTGGACTCTCGCTTGCTGAGGTGTTCCAGCGAGTGTCTCTGTAGATCTTAGAAAACTATTTCTTGATTTAAGTCGTTGACGTGCTGGCTGATACCCAAACAAGGGATGAGCTGGAGATGTCTCTGCCTTGGTCCTTTCACTATTGGCTGCTACTTCCCGGCGGACATCAGGTGGTGCAATACCGGCTAAGCACTGTGATTTCTCCAATGGTGTAGGGCGCAGGCACCCCGTGATAATGCGGCATGTCTCATTAAGAGCCACATCCACTGTTTTAGCGTGGTGAGATGTGTTCCACACTGGGCATGCGTACTCAGCAGCAGAGTAGCACAGCGCAAGGGCAGATGTCTTCACTGTGTCTGGTTGTGATCCCCAGGTTGTGCCAGTCAGCTTTCGTATGATATTGTTTCTAGCACCCCACTTTTTGCTTGATGTTCAGGCAGTGCTTCTTGTAGGTCAGAGCACGGTCCAGAGTGACTCCTCCCAGGTACTTGGGTGCGCTGCAATGCTCCAGTGGGATTCCTTCCCATGTCATCATCCTCAGAGCTCGGGATGCTTCTCTGTTCTTAAGGTGAAAGGCACATGTCTGTGTTTTAGATGGATTAGGGATCAGTTGGTTTTCCCTGTAATAGGCAATTAGAGCACCTAGAGCTTCGGAGAGCTTCTGTTCAACCATCTCAAAGCTCCCTGCTTGAGCGGTGATGGCACGATCATCAGCATAGATGAAACTCTCTGTCCCTTCTGGCAGTGGCTGGTCATTTGTGTAGATGCTTGCTCCATCCATGTTCAACATCTATTATTATTTATTATTTATTTATTTATTATTTGCACTTGTTAACCGCCACTCTCAGCCCAGGGGCGACTCGTGGCGGTGTACAGAACATAGAAAAGACAACAATTTACAATAGAACAAGACCATAACACAACATATAAAAATCCGCTTCGTCTAGTTTGGGGTCATAGTCAAACTCATAGTCATAGTCCATTCCGGTGGTCATTCCAAAGAACCTGGCACTAGCTGAAGGCCTTTTCGAAGAGCCAGGTTTTCAGGACCTTGCGGAAGGCCATGAGGGAAGGCGCCTGTCTGATTTCAGCAGGGAGGGAGTTCCATAGCCGGGGGGCCACCACCGAGAAGGCCCGCTCTCTCGTCCCCGCCAGGCGTGCCTGTGAGGCAGGCGGGACCGAGAGAAGGGCCTCCCCAGATGATCTCAAGGTCCTCGTGGGCTCGTAGGCCGAGATGCGGTTTTCAAGGTATTTTGGGCCGGAACCGTTTAGGGCTTTGTAGGATAACACCAGCACCTTAAATTGGGCCCGGTAGCAAATCGGCAGCCAGTGGAGCTGGGACAGCAAGGGCGTTGTATGCTCCCTGCGTCCCGCTCCAGTTAACAACATGGCTGCCGCGCGCTGGACTAGCTGGAGCTTCCGGGCCGTCTTCAAGGGCAGCCCCACGTAGAGAGCGTTGCAGTAGTCAAGGCGGGATGTGACCAGAGCATGTACCACCGTGGCCAAGTCAGACTTCCCAAGGTACGGGCGCAGCTGGCGCACGAGCCTAAGCTGTGCAAATGCTCCCCTGGTCACCGCCGAAACCTGGGGATCCAGGCTCAGCGATGAGTCCAGGGTCACACCCAAGCTGCGAACCTGCGCCTTCAAGGGGAGTGCGACCCCGTCCAGCACAGGCTGTAACCCTATACCCTGCTCGGCCTTGCGACTGACCAGGAGTACCTCTGTCTTGTCTGGATTTAATTTCAGTTTGTTCGCCCTCATCCAGACCGTTACAGCGGCCAGGCACCGGTTCAGGACTTCGACAGCCTCCTTAGTAGCAGGTGGAAAGGAGTGACAGAGTTGGACATCATCTGCGTACAGGTGACACCGCACCCCGAAACTCCGGATGATCTCACCCAGCGGCTTCATGTAGATGTTAAACAGCATGGGGGACAGTATGGAGCCCTGAGGAACACCACAGGTCAAAGGCTGCGGTGTTGAACAGGAGTCCCCCAATAACACCTTCTGGGTACGTCCCTCCAGAAATGATTGGAGCCACCGCAAAGCGGTGCCCCCAAGGCCCATCTCTGCAAGGCGTCCCAGAAGAATACCGTGGTCGACGGTATCGAAGGCCGCTGAGAGGTCCAGAGCACCAACAGGGACACACTCCCCCTGTCTAGCTCCCGGCGGAGATCATCCACTAAGGCGACCAAGACTGTCTCGGTACCATGTCCCGGTCTGAAGCCAGACTGTGCCGGATCCAGATAATCCGTGTCTCTCAAGAATACCTGGAGTTGTGAGGCCACCACGCTTTCCATGACTTTGCCCAAAAAGGGGAGATTGGAAACAGGCCGAAAGTTGTCCAATTTAGTGGGGTCCAGTGATGGCTTCTTCAACAGCGGCTTTATAATAGCCTGTTTTAGGCTCGCTGGAATCTTGCCTTCCCGAAGGGAGGCATTCACCACCCCTGTTACCCACTCAGCCAATCCCCCTCTGGCCTCCCTTAGAAGCCAGGATGGGCAGGGGTCTAGGATGGACGTGGTGGGCCTCATTCCTCCAAGTATCTTGTCCACACCTCGGGTTTCACAAACTGAAAAGAATCCATCAAAATAGGACAAGCAGGTGCTTGTGTCACATCCACAGAGACTGCATTTAAAGTGGTGTCCAGCCAACGGATCAAAGCGACTTTGTCTGCAAAGAACCGAGCAAATGCTTCACAGCGCGTGGCCGAGTTGTCAGGGCTCCCACCTGAGGTAGGGAGTTAAAAGACCTCTGACAATCCGAAACAACTCCGCCGGACGGTTTTTTGCAGACGCAATAGTGGCCGCAAAGAAAGTTTTCTTTGCGGCTTTTATTGCCGCGGCATATGCCCTTAAAAAGGACACAAACCGTGCTCGATTTGGCTCGCTTGGGTCCGAGCGCCACACGCTCTCTAGTTCCCTCTTCCTTCGCTTCATCACTGCCAGCTCCTCAGTAAACCAAGGAGCTGGTTTAGCTCGGCTACTTGAGAGGGGACGTTCCGGAGCGATCATGTCAATTGCCCTGGCCATCTCCCCATTCCAGAGAGCGACCAAGGCCTCGACATGGTCACCTACCGAGGTGGCGGGAAAATCCCCAAGAGCCGTCAGGAATCCATTCGGATCCATAAGCCTCCTGGGGCGGACCATCTTAATGGGTCCTCCACCTTTGCAGAGGTTAGGGGACGCAGTGAGCCTAAATCTGATCAGGAAGTGGTTGGTCCATGGCAACGGAGAGATGGACAACTCCTCCACACCGCCACCTTGCTCCCATCCCTGGCAGAAAACCAAGTCCAATGTATGTCCAGCACAGTGGGTGGGGCCAGTTATTTGTTGGGACAGCCCCATGGTTGCCATGGCAGACATGAAGTCCTGAGCTGCTCCTGTGAGGGCTGCCTCGGCATGGATGTTGAAGTCCCCCAGCACAAGAAGCCGTTGGGACTCCATCACCAAAATAATAATAATAATAATAATAATAATAATAATAATAATAATAATAATAATAATGTCCCAAACACATTCTCTTAATCCCACTGCCTTTTCTGATACTAGTAATATTTTATTGGCCCTGAGAAGGGTTGAAATTTCACCACAAGGCCGGCCATTTTGGGTGCCGAGGCCTAGCGAGGCCTTCAAGGAAGAAACAATCCTACTCGAGTGGAAATGTCACCCCCAATAATAATAACAGTAATAATAATAATAATAATAATAATAATAATGTCCCAAACACATTCTCTTAATCCCACTGCCTTTTCTGATACTAGTAATATTGTGCTGGCAAGGGTCGAGAGGATAGTTAAAATGGTTGAGGTTTTGCCTCAAAAGCGGCCATTTTGGGTGCCGAGGCCTAGCGATTCCCTCAATGCAAAAACACTGCCAATGTGGAAGTTTGCCCCCAATAATGATGATGATGATGTCCCAAGCACATTATCTTAAGCCTCCCACTGCCTTTTCTGATACTAGTAATACTGTTCTGGCAATGATGGAGACAATCATGAGAAGGATTGAGGTTCCATCTCAAGGGCGGCCATTTTGGGCGTCAAGGACTAGTGAGTCCCTCAAAGCAAAAACAATCCTGCCCATGTGGAAGTATTGCCCCAATTTAATAATAATAATAATAATAATAATAATGTCCCAAACACATTCTCCTAACCCTCCCACTGTCTTTTCTGATATTAGTAATAGTTTACTAGCCATGATGGAGACCATCATGAGAAGGATTTAAGTTTTGCTTCAAGGGCGGCCATTTTGAGCGCCAAGGCCTAGCGAGACCTTCAAAGCAAAAACACTGCCAATGTGGAAGTTTACCCGCAATAATAATAATAATAATAATAATAATAATAATAATAATAATGTCCCAAACATATTCTCTTAACCATCCCGCTGCCTTTTCTGATACTAGTAATATTGTGCTGGCAAGGGTCGAGAGGATAATTAAAACAATTGAGGTTTCGCCTCATTGGCGGCCATTTTGGGCGCCGAGGCCTAGCAAGGCCCTCAAAGCAAAAAACAACCCGGCCCATGTGGAAATGTTTTCCCCAATAATAATAACAACAATAATAATAATGTCCCAAACACATTCTCTTAACCCTCCCTGCCTTTTCTGATACTAGTAATATTTTACTGTCCATGATGGAGATGATCATGTGAAGGATTGAAGTTTCGCCTCAGGGTGGCCATTTTGGGCGCCGAGGCCTAGCAAGGTAATAATAATAATAATAATAATAATAATAATAATAATAGAATGGAAATAGTGATGGTAATAAAGCAGCAGACAAGAGGGCCATGCAAGCCCATGGGGCAGCCATTTTGGATTCAGGAAGGCCTGAGGTAGTAGACCCCGAAAGAGTCCACAAAAATGATGTCACCATTAGTCTAATAATAATAATAATAATGAAGAAGAAATAATAATGATAATACTATACTGGCAATCATAATTAAGAGAATGATAATGGAAAGAAAACCAATTTGGCCTCAGGACCTCCATTTTGGATTCAGGAAAGCCTGAGGGGAGATAGCAGGCCCCAAAAGAGTCCACAAAAAAAGTCACAATTAGTCTAATAATAATAATAATAATAATAATAATAATAATGAAGAAGAAGAAAACAGTAATAACAATACTAACAATATTATACTGGCAATAATAACTCTGACAATTATATTGGAAGGAAAACTCATTTGGGCTCAGGGCCACCATTTTGAATTCAGGAAGGCCTGATGGGAGATAGTGAAAGGGTCTTTGTGTGAAATTTGCAAATGCTAATCAAGGGTCTTTGAATGAAATTAACAGCAAAAGAGAAATATACCCTTTCTCTGTAGAAAAGGAGCAACACGGAAGAAAATGTTTTTAAGAAACAAGATGTGACATGTAGAGGTCATACAAAGTTCAAACCTACATAGAAAGTTGTGTTGTGGTTAAGCCAAAGGTTGTGGTTAAGCGCAGAGTCTGCAGGTACAAGAAGGTACTTTCCATTAAAAGGTCAAGGGAGGGGGTTGGAAAGAGAGTACTTTCCATGACCTATTACTTGAGTATAAAGGTCAGCAGAAACAGAGGAGGGGCGCGGCAGTCACTTGAAGGGTAGCATCTGCGTATGCTGCCAGGCTGTCCGTCTTCTTCATGAAGAAACTAAAATAAACCTTGTTTTTTGATCTTTTTGGGGGGGACTGTCTCCTTCCTTACGTGCTCCCGTGATGTGGACCTAAGAAGACCCAATTTAGAGTCTCTAACAATAGCAGGCCCAAAAGAGAGTCCAAATAAGATGTCACCACAAGTCCCCTAATAATAATAATAATAATAATAATAATAATAATAATAATAATAATAATAATGTACTGGTGATAGTGATAATGATAAGAAGCATGACCAACAGCGGTATCCATTTTATTATACAGATTGTTCCCTTGCGTACATTTCACAGAGATCGGAGGCCTTTTGGTAACAGGTAACACGGAACATGGACTCCCAAATCCCATATGTGTTTTTTTTAGAAGGAATATCCTATAACAGATACTCTAGATCCAGTGCAAATCCTCAGAGTTGGCCCCTACGTGTTGCGCGAAACACATGTTTCTCGAACTCCGCCGGAGTTTTGTATTTGCCTCCTTTCGGCGTCCGGAAAACAGACGAATGGAAAGAGGTTTACGAGGCAAGTCCCAATAAGCCCTGGCTGAATTCCCACAGCCTCTTGGCCACAGTGTCGTCGCGTGCACGAGGACGGGGGTCTCGCAGACGGCAGTCGGCAAAATAGCGCCCGCTGAGCCTCTCGATGCCTTCCTCGGTGGCGCAGAAGACAGACGTCTGGGCCCCGTCCGCAGGGCTTCGGAAGAAGAGCCGGGAGACGAGGAAGACGAGGGGCTTGGCCCAGGAGGGAGAATGGCGGAAGAGCTCCGTGTTCACCACCCCTGCGGACACAAGGAAGGAGCAACAAACAGGTACGGAAAGACATCATACTATACAGGCCGTCCCCAACTTGCAAACAGTGCGTTCCAAAGCATATATATATATATATATATATATATAAGGCATGGCCAGTTCATGGTTTCCATGGTTCTAAATGGTTCTGAAGTACTTACAAAACTAGGAGGCACTGGCGCTTTGCTTCTAAAGTGTTGCTAAAGTTCTGGTGGTGAAAATTTCAGAATTCTAACACACCTTTAAAAATGTCGTTATTGTTGGGGTTCAGCCTGCGTGTGAACCTGAACCTGATTCTCTGATTGCTGAACCTGAACCTGATTCTCTGATTGTATTTCCTGATGCTACTGAAAATGTATTTCTCCCTGATGGTAATGAAAATGATTCTGAGGTTAGTGGCTTGGAAAGTGAAACTACACATTCTGACGAGAATGTTGCAGACCCAAGCGGTGATAGCTCTTCAGAGGAGCTAACACTTGGCTTCCTTAATGAGGATAGAAAAGGACAGATTTGGAAAAACAGGAGTGAATCGCAGAGTCTGCGAAGGTCAAGCAGATTAAGGGAAAAGGAAACACAGGCTTCAAAGCCTGGAGGCGTGTCACGAAACAGTTTCTTCAGTTTTAAGTGCCTCTCGCCGGGTTGTCTCGTTAGATCAGGCATCGTTTAGACTGAGGCATTACCTTGGCAGATTTCCCTGTTTCCCGTGGCCTACATCCCAAGAGGCTTCTAGTGCTCCAAGTACGGTTAGAGGTTTTTACAGTGTTGCTTTTGGAATTTTGATCTAATTCATGGATATTCCTGACTGCTGAATTTTACTGTGGCTTTTTGACTTTGCATTTTCCTCTATTTTGTAACCATTTTTCATCAATAAAAAGGGATTGTTTTTTCCCACAGTCAAGTGTGGTGGATTGTTATCTTATGGTCTCGTTTCCTGCTCTGGGTTGCAACAGTTATAAATGGCAGTTCCTAATTGGTTCTGTCATAAAAATTACCAATAAATAATTTTTTGAAAGTTTTGTTAGAGTTCTGAAATTTTCACTACCAGAACTTTAGCAACACTTTGGAAGCAAAGCGCCAGCGCCCCTTAGTTTTGTAAGTACTTCAGAACCATTTAGAACCATGGATTGGCCGTGCCTAATATATATACAAGCATATGTGTGTGTGTGTGTGTGTAACAGTAAAAATAATAACAGTGATGATGATAATAGTAATAGTCATCATAATAATAGTCATGGGGTTGCTGTGAGTTTTCCGGGCTGTGTGGCCATGTTCCAGAAGCTTTAGAATCAAGAGTAAATGCCCACAAATTGGTGAGAATTTTAGGGAAGGAAGCCACTGGATCCTACAGATCCCTAAACCACCTACCAACCTGGGTGAACAGCGTAGCAAGTCACGCCGGTTCCTTCCAGCCGGTTGGCCAGCTCTCGGACAAACAAGATGTTGGCCAACTTGCTGTTGCAGTAGGACTGGAAGGCTTGGGCGGTCCCCTCCGCCGGCCGATGGATGCTCTGGAAGTCCATCTTCCCAGAACGGTGTGCATTGGACGCCACCACCACAATGCGGCTGGGCGAGCAGCGCTTGAGCCGCTCCAGGAGGAGGTGGGTCAGGAGGAAGTGGCTCAAGTGGTTCACCTGAAACGTCACGTCAAAGCCGTCCTCAGTCTGGCCTTCGCAGCCAATGCCTGTGGGGTAAAACAGACCCCGTGAGTGTTGTTGGGGGATTCCAAAAATGAGAAAGCAGGTGTTGCATCCCAGATCAGGAAACGAGACCATAAGATTAAATCCACCACACCGGACTGTAGGAAAAACAATCATTTTTTATTGATGAAAAATTGGTTACAAAAGAAAGGCAAATGCAAAGTCAAAAAGCCACAATGGAAACACAGCAGTCAGGAAAATCTCTGAGCTTGAGCAAAATTCCAAAAACCATAATACAAAAACCAGGAACCTGTTAGCATCTCACTAACCATGTACTTGAAAACTAGAAGCCTCTGGGATTACCGGCCATGGAACACAGGAATTCTGCCAAGGCACAGCCGCAGTCCAAAACGTTGCTTGATCTAACGAGACACCCGGAAGGAGGCCCCTTAAACCAAAGAAACTATTCCTTGAAACGCCCCTTGACTTTGAAGCCTGGGCCTGTCTCTCTTGTAATCTATTTGACCTTCGTGGAAACTGTGAATCACTCCTGTCTCTAGCTATCTGTTCCCTTCGGTCCTCATTAAAAAACCCAGGTGTGGTTTCCTCTGGAGAGTTATCACGGCTGGATTCCAAAACATTTTCATCCGGCTGTTCAGTTTCACTTTCCTCGCCACTGAGCTCAGCATCAACAACAGTTTCAACACTATCAGGGAGAGATACATGTTCAGTGGCTGGCTCAGTTGGAAATACAATCAGAGAATCAGGTTCACACAGAGCAGGCTGAACCCCAACAGCAGGTAAAAATGGTGGTTTAGCAAAACAGAAGCTTCTTGAGCACAGCAGTAGAGCAACTGAGCTAACTCACTTACTCACAGCAGACACCTTATCTCTCCATGCTCACAGGAGAAGAACAAAATGGGAGACTCATGTCCTGAGAAGAATCAGTCTAACAATTAAGGTGATAGGGGGAGAGAATAGGGAGACAGGCATACAAAGAGGCTAATAGGGGAATACCTTTCCCTATCAACTAAGTCATCTGCTCACCTAAGTCCTTGATGAGGACTATAGACTTGTGCAGGATGTGGCTGAGTCCCAACAATGGGGCCACTATAGCTGAAGATCTCAGGAAGTTGTGTCAAGGATCATCACCACCCAATGATATAAGTCAATGGCTGATGTCCCTGTATTATCCCTAAGGTCTTTGCCCAGATATGGAGCTCTTCAATGGACCGACCAGTCCACTTGGAAGGTCTGGGGTCAATCCCACCTCCAGGCCAAGCTCTGACCTGCGTTGTTAATGAGGATGTCCAGCCGGGGCTCCGATCGCAAGAAGGCTTCGGCAAAATCTCGGACCGAACGCAGGCTGCCCAAGTCCAGGCTCATGAAGAGCACCTCGTTGTTCCCGCTCTCCTGTGTACAAACAACAACACAAACCAGTGAGTTAAGGATAATTCCAAACAAATAAGAATAAAACAAAAAGAGGAGTATCCCTATCTATATCTAAGTTTTCCTAATGAATCATCTGGAAGTACAGCACAGGATTATATGCACACGGTACTCTGGGATATTATTGTCAGAAATATTAAAAATTAACTAGGTATTTTTAATTACAAAAATGTGAGTCAAGCACTGAAAGGGTTCAATGGGTGCAACGACTCAGCAAAAGCTGCAGTTCGATATAAGCAGGAGTTCCTGTAGCTTAGTAGAAATTAGTCTGAGGTAAACCTCAGTGGGAGAAAGGTCTCAGCCTGTGAGAAGGCTTCACAGTGTGAGGTAGGCTTTAGTCAGTGAGAGAAGGCCTCACAGTATGAGGTAGGCCTTAGTCTGTGAGAGAAGCCTGTGTGTGAGGTAGGCCTTAGTCTGTGAGAGAAGGCCTCACAGTGTGAGGTAGGCCTTAATCTGTGAGAGAAGCCTCTGTGTGAGGTAGGCCTTAGTCTGTGAGAGAAGCCTCTGCGTGAGGTAGGCCTTAGTCTGTGAGAGAAGCTTCTGTGTGAGGTAGGCCTTAGTCTGTGAGAGAAGCCTCTGTGTGAGGTAGGCCTTAAGTCTGTGAGAGAAGGCTTCACAGCGTGAGGTAGGCCTTAGTCAGTGAGAGAAGGCCTCACAGTGTGAGGTAGACCTTAGTCTGTGAGAGAAGCCTCTGTGTGAGGTAGGCCTTAGTCTGTGAGAAGGCCTCAGAGTGTGAGAAGCCCCAGGTTGGAGGCCTCATATGTAAAGCTACTATGTGAAGGTACTGTGTAAATTTGGTGTGAGAGGAGGCTCTATGAGAGCGAAGCTGTTTATCTGCATAAGAAAGAAGCCCAGCGTGGAAGCAAAGAAGGAATTATAAAGAAGTTTATTTGTGTTGTCTTGTAAATAGTGCAACAATATAATTTTGCTAGCCTCCTATGGAAGAGATACCATTGGTCTGTGTGTTTATGTTCTTTTTATCACTTTGGGCTACTGGCGCTGGGTCACGTTGTTGCTGCTAAGTTACTCTGCTGTGCATTTATGGGGAGGGTCTTTTGTTATTAAGCCCACTAGCCCAACAATTATTTCCTCACCCTCCGGATGTCATAGACGGCCGATTCTCCTCGCTGTTTGTTGCGACAAGCCAGGATGACCCTTGCTCCTCTGTGGGCCAGATCCAACGCAGTGGCCTTTCCAATCCCGGTGTTCCCACCTGTGAAAAATCCAGAGAGAATTGACCACAGCCAGCTTCTCCATCACACCTGCTTGGAAGGTGAGACCAGGCCTCCTCCTGATGCTCAGCTTGTCCTCTCTGCAGTTCTGGCTCATGAGGCTGTGACGCCTGGCTCCACAACAGTCACATATGAAGGAGATCTTGGGAGTTTTCATGGACAACAATCTGAACATGAACCGACAATATGACGTATCTTTAAAAATGGGATTTTGGGCTGCCTCCAAAGGTGTTTAGTGTCCAGATCAAGGGAGATCATGGTGCCCCGATAACCTTGCTTTAGTCAGGTCTCACCTGGAGTACAGTGTCCAATTCTGGGCCACACAATTTATATTGACTAAGCTGGACGGTGTCAAAAGGGATTGAAGGTGTGGAGACCACGGATAATCCCTCTGAGGAGCAGCCTCAGAAGAGAAGGTTGAGAGGAGACAGGAGAACCATGTTGACATATGGGAAAGGAAGAAGGAGCAGGCTTGACTAGGACTCAATGGAGACATGGGCTGAAATGACAAGGAAGGAATTTCCATCTGAACATCTGGAAGAACTTCCTGATCATAAGAGCTATTTGACAGTGATCAAAAGTGTGGAGACCATGAATGATTCCTCTGAGAAGGAGCTTAAAGAGTCTCAGAAGAGAAGGTTGTGAGGAGACAGGAGAACCATGTTGACATATGGGAAAGGATGCCTTTGGGAAGAGGGAGCAGGCTTGACCAGGACTCAATGGAGCCTGGGGTTCAAATGGCAGGAAAGGAGATTCCACCTGAACTTCTAGAAGAACTTCCTGACCATACGAGCTCTTTAACAGTGATTGAAAGTGTGGAGACCATGAATAATCCCTCTGAGGAGGACCTTAAAGAACCTCAGAAGAGAAGCTTGAGAGGAGACAGGAGAACCATGTTGACATATGGGAAAGGAAAGAAGGAGCAGGCTTGACCAGGACTCAGTGGAGCCATGGGTTCAAATGACAAGGAAGGAGATTCCACCTAAACTTCTAGAAGAACTTCCTGACCGTACAAGCTCTTTAACAGTGATTGAAAGTGTGGAGACCATGAATAATCCCTCTAAGAAGGAGCTTAAAGAGCCTCAGAAGAGAAGGTTGTGAGGCGACAGGAGAACCATGTTGACATATGTGAAAGGAAGAAGGAGCAGGCTTGACTAGGACTCAATGGAGCCATGGGTTGAAATGACAAGGAAGAAGTTTTCACCTGAACATCTGGAAGAACTTCCTGACAGTAAGAGCTGTTTGACAGGACTCACCTGGAGTATGGTGTGCAATTCTAGGCCCCACAATTTATATCGACTCTAAGTTAGAAGGTGTGGAGACCATGAATAATCCCTCTGGGGAGGAGCTTAAAGAGCCTCAGAAAAGAACGTTGACAGGGGACAGGAGAACCATGTTGACATATGTGAAAAGATGCCATTGAGAAGAAGAAGCAGGCTTGACTGGGACTCAATGGAGCCATGGGTTCAAATGACAGGGAAGGAGGATCCAGCTGAACATCTGAAAGAACTTCCTGACCATACGAGCTCTTCGACAGTGATTGAAGGTGTGGAGGCCATGAATAATCCCTCTGAGGAGGAGCTTAAAGAACCATAGAAGAGAAGCTTGAGAGGAGACAGGAGAACCATGTTGAGATATGTGAAAGGATGCCATTGAGAAGAAGCAGCAGGCTTGACCAGGACTCAATGGAGCCATGGGTTCAAATGACAGGGAAGGAGGTTCCACCTGAACATCTGGAAGAACTTCCTGACCATAAGAGCTGTTCAAAGGTGTGGAGATCATGAATGATCCCACTGAGAAGGAGCTTAAAGAATCTCAGAAGAGAAGGTTGTGAGGAGACAGGAGAACCATGTTGACATATGGGAAAGGAAGAAGGAGCAGGTTTGACCAGGACTCAATGGAGCCATGGGTTCAAATGACTGGGAAGGAGTTTCCACCTGAACATCTGGTGGTGCTTCTGACAGTAAGAGCTGTTTGATAGGCCTCATCTGTGCAACAGGCGATTTTGGAGTCCTCGTGGACAACAAGTTAAACATGAGCCAACAATGTGATGTGGCGGCGAAAAAAGCCAATGGGATTTTGGCCTGCATCAAGAGGAGCATAGTGCCTAGATCTAGGGAAGTAATGCTACCCATGCTCTGTTCTGCTTTGGTTAGACCACACCTGGAATATTGTGTCCAATTCTGGGCACCACAATTCAAGAGAGATATTGACAAGCTGGAATGTGTCCAGAGGAGAGCGACTAAAATGATAAAGGGTCTGGAGAACAAGCCCTATGAGGAACGGCTTAAGGAGCTGGGCATGTTTGAAAAGATGGCATTGAGAAGAAGCAGCAGGCTTGACCACAACTCAATGGAGCCATGGGTTCAAATGACAGGGAAGGAGGTTCCACCTGAACATCTGGAAGAACTTCCCAATAATAAGAGATGTTCAACAGTGGAACTCTCTGCCTCGGAATCTGGTGGAGGCTTTGAAACAGAGGCTGGATGGGAGTGCCTGGATTGTGCTATCAAAAAGGACAGTGATCAAAGGTGTGGAGACCATGAATAATCCCTCTGAGGAGGAGCTTAAAGAGCCTCAGAAGAGAACATTGAGAGGGCACAGGAGAACCATGTTGACATATGTGAAAAGATGCCATTGAGAAGAAGCAGCAGGCTTGACCAGGACTCAATGGACCCATGGGTTCAAATGACAGGGAAGGAGGTTCCACCTGAACATCTGGTAGAACTTCTGACAGTAAGAGCTGTTTGACAGTGATTGAAGGTGTGGAGACCATGAATGATCCCTCTGAGAAGGAGCTTAAAGAGCCTCAGAAAAGAACATTGAGAGGGGAAGAAGGAGCAGGCTTGACCAGAACTCAATGGAGCCATGGGTTGAAATGACAAGGAAGAAGGTTCCACCTGAACATCTGGAAGAACTTCCTGACCATAAGAGCTGTTCAAAGGTGTGGAGATCATGAATGATTCCTCTGAGAAGGAGCTTAAAGAGTCTCAGAAGAGAAGGTTGTGAGGAGACAGGAGAACCATGTTGACATATGTAAAAGGAAGAAAGAGCAGGCTTGACCTGGACTCAATGGAGCCATGGGCTGAAATGACAAGGAAGGAGGTTCCACCTGAACATCTAGAAGAACTTCCTGATAGTAAGAGCTGTTCAACAGTGGAACTCTCTGCCTTGGAATCTGGTGGAGGCTTTGAAACAGAGACAGGATGGGAGTGCTTGGATTGTGCTATCAAAAAGGGTCTGAACTAGATGGCCTTTGAGGTCTCTTCCAAATGTTGTGATGGCATGCTTGTCCCTCCTGCCCCAGGGATCTCACCGGTGAGGAGGACCGTCTTGCCCTGGAGAAGGGTCTCGTTCCTGCAGCGTCTCCCTTTGAGAAAGTTGTGGTAGACCAGGGCATAGAGGCCCAGGCCCATGCCGAGTCCCAGCAAGGCCTCTGCTGCCACTGCCATGGCTGATAGGATGTTACAGGATCTTGGGCAAGATTATGGAGCTGCCTCCTCCTCCTCCTCCTCCTTCCTTCCGCCCCTTCACTCCTCCCCTCTGGTCTTCGGTCTCCTCCTCTATTTAACCATTGCCTCTCCTCTGGATCCAGTGTTGGGTCTGAGGATCTAAGCAGGAGATCCAGGCTGGACGGGAGGTGGCAGCACTGCGCTGGATCCAGAGAAAAGAGTGTCAGATCCCATAGGAAGGAGCAACCACAAAAGTCCCCCAAGAAGAAGGAACAAGGGACAATTGCTAGGCGATCACTCAAGGTCCATGAAGCTGATAGTCTTCCAAGGTTCAAGTCTTGGTAATGGGTCTGCAAGTGACCGTTGAACAGTGATTCTCAACCTTCCGAACGCCGCGACCCCTTAATACAGTCCGTCATGTTGTGGTGACCTCTAACATTATTTTCGTTGCTACTTCACAACAAAGTGTTATGATTCTCAACCTTCTGAACACCGCGACCCCTTAAAACCGTCATGTTGTGGTGACCTCTAACCACAACATTATTTTCGTTGCTACTTCACAACAAAGTGTTATGAATCGTTATGTAAATATCCGATTTGCAGGATGTATCTTCATTCTCTGGACCAAATTTGGCACAAATACCGATACGGCCGTATTTGAATACTGGTGAGGGAATTCACAGGGAATTGATTTCATCATTTGAGAGTTGTAGTTGCTGGGATTTATAGTTGACCTACAATGAAAGAGCATTATGAACTCCACCAACGATGGGATTGGGTCAAACTTGGCACTCAGGTTGATTTCATCATTTGGGAGTTGTAGTTCCTGGGATTGATAGTTCACGTACAATCAAAGAGCATTATGAACTCCACCAATGATGGGATTGGGTCAAACTTGGCACACACATTGATTTCATCATTTGGGAGTTGTAGTTCCTGGGATTTATAGTTCACCTACAATGAAGGAGCATTATGAACTCCACCAATGATGGAAATGGGCCAAACTTCGCACAAAGAACTCACATGAACAGAAAATACTGGAAGGGTTTGCTGGGCATTGACTTTGAGTTTGGGAGTTGTAGTTCACCTACATCCAGAGAATACTGTGGACTCAGACAATGACAGATGTAGACCAGACTAGGCACGGATACTCAATATGCCCAAATGTTAACACTGATGAATTTTGGGGAAAATAGACCTTGGTATTTGGGAGTTGTAGTTGCTGGGATTTATAGTTCACCTACAATCAAAGAGCATTCTGAACTCCACCAATGATGGAATGGCACCAAACTTGGCACACAGAACTCCCATGACTGATAGAAAAAACTGGAAGGGTTTGCTGGGCATTCACCTAGAGTTTGGGAGTTGTAGTTCACTTACATCCAGAGACCACTGCAGACTCAGACAACGATAGATCTGGATCAAACTTGGCACGAATACTCAATATGCCCAAATGTGAACACTGATGGAGTTTGGGGAAAATAGACCTTGACATTGAGTTGTAATTGCTGGGATTTATAGTTCACCTGCAATCAAATAGCATTCCTAACCCCTCCAACGATAGAATTGGGCCAAACTTCCCACACAGAACCCTCACGACCAACAGAAAGTACTGTGTTTTCTGATGGTCTTTGGCAACCCCTTTGACACCCCCAGATTGAGAAATGCTGGTATCGAGGGTCCCTTCCACAGCTCCCTCCAAAAGATGAGCATGTGCTTGATCCAAAACACCCTGGAGATATCTGGAACAAAGGAGGGAAAAAGCAAGTAACACATCAATTTTTATTACTTAGTGTAAAGATCTTTGAAAGATGAACCAATATTGTATTTTTATGATGAGTACAAATCTGGGAGACTCGTTCATGTGTTGGCCGGGATGCACATGACTAAGGGGGGAGTCCCAGCAGCCTCTCGCTGAATTCCCAGAGCTTCGTGGCCAAAGCATCGTCCCGCCCAAGAGGACAGGTGTCGTCTCGCCGGCAGTTGTCAAAATAGCTCCCGCTGAGCGGCTCGAGACCTTCCTCCGTGGCACAGTAGATGGAGGTCTGGGCCCCGTTGTGGGCATCTCTGAAGAAGAGCCAGGTGAAGACTAGGTAGGGGTACTGCACCCAGAGAGGGGAATAGCGCAAGGCGTTGGTGTGGACAGCCCCTGAAGGGAACAACAAAAGAGGACAGCACTTGCCCGTCAGTTCCACCGCCAACCTGTCCGCCATTCCTACCACCAACCTGCCAGTCAGTCCCACCGCCAATGTGCCCGCCAGTCCCACCACCAACCTGCCCGCCAACCTGCCTGTCAGTCCCACCGCCAACTTGCCCGTCAGTCCCACCGCCAACCTTCCTGTCAGTCCCTCTGCCAACCTGCCCGCCAGTCCCACCACCTACCTGCCTGCCAGTCTCACCGCCAACCTCTCCGCCAACCTGCCCATCAGTCCCAATGCTAACTTGCCCATCAGTACCACCACCAACCTTTCTGTCAGTCCCGCCGCCAACCTGCCCGCCAGTCCCACCACCAACCTGCCCGCCAGTCCCACCACCAACCTGCCCGTCAGTCCCACCGCTAACTTGCCCGTCAGTCCCACCGCCAACCTTCCTGTCAGTCCCTCTGCCAACCTGCCTGCCAGTCCCGCCGCCAACCTGCCCATCAGTCCCACCACCTATCTGCCTGCCAGTCCCACCGCCAACCCCTCCGCCAACCTGCCCATCAGTCCCACCGTGAACTTGCCCATCAGTACCACTGCCAACTTTCTGTCAGTCCCTCCGCCAACTTGCCCATTAGTCCCACCGCCAACCCGCCTGTTAATCCACCGCCAACCTGCCCGCCAGTTCCACCGCCAACCTGCCCGTCAGTCCCACCGCCAACCTGCCTGCCAGTCCCACCGCCAAACTCTCCACCAACCTGCCCGTCATTCCCACCGCTAACTTGCCCATCAGTACCACCGCCAACCTTCCTGTCAGGCCCTCCGCCAACTTGCCCATTAGTCCTGCTGCCAACTTGCCCGTTAGTCCCGCTGCCAACCTGCCCACCAGTCCTGCCGCCAACCTGCCCGTCAGTCCCGCCGCCAACCTGCCCACTAGTCCCGCCGCCAACCTGCCCGTCAGTCCCGCCGCCAACCTGTCTGTCAGTCCCGCCGCCAACCTTCCCGCTAGTCCCACCGCCAACCTGCTGATCAGTCCCACTGCCAAACTGCCCGTCAGTGCCACCACCAACCTGCCCGCCAATCCCACCGCCAACCGTTCCACCTTAGTATTATATGACATGATGGTACCTACTTCTTCTCTCTTTCTGGTCACAGCCCGTGCAAGGTGGCCAAAACAGATTAAAATGCCGAATTTTGAATCAAGATTAGATACCCGCGTTTGGAGACATGAGCAGTGTTTTTGCAAGAGGAGCTGAATTGGTAATCATCCCATTTTAAAGCGGGTAAACACCAAGCGGCTGTAAATGTGGGAGTGTCATCCAAAGTCAAATAAGTAAATAAGCCGCCGCAAGTTCAGAGTGAGTGAAAGAAAGGAGGGAATTGCCGAAGAGATTACGAGTCCAAAGTCAGGTCAAGGGTAAGAGAAGTCGTGACGGGATCGGAGGATCAGTGCCTCGCCTGAACCTAGCCACACAGCCGGCCTCGTTAAGCGGCACGGCTTAATGAAGGGTGACAGGGCTCTCGGGACGAAAGAGAGTGGCCCCGGCTCTCTTTCCGCCTCCAGGGTTGTGGCTGGGGCTCCTCCTTCATTCGGGGAGGCCTCGTCTGTTGTGCCTTCAGCATTGCAAAGTCAAGGATTCGGATCAGTACTCGGCCACGGAAAGACCTAGCGCAGAGCCTTCCAAACTGTGCATTGGGACTGTTGCCTGGAGTTCCTTAGGTGTGTCGGCTGAAAAATGTTGTAGGGACTGTTCTCACAATTACACTTTGCACAATTATGGTGACTGACTTGCCATAATTGTCACTAAGCTCCTAATTAAGAGACAATGTGGACAATGATGTTTTTTGATAATACACATGGAGCGGCTCTAGAGCAGTGGCTCCCAACCTTTTTTTGACCAGGGACCCCTCCCCAACATTAGTACCAAAGGGGTTATGAATAAGTTTTTGGTCCACTTTAGATTCAGTTTGGTTATTTGGGGATGCTGATTCAGAAAATAGCATTGGATAGACTACATCAGCTGATTCAGAAAACTGCATTGGATAGACCACATCAGCTGATTCAGAAAATGGCATTGGATAGACCACATCAGCTGGTTCAGAAAATGGCATTGGATAGACCACATCAGATGATTCTGAAAACTGCATTGGATAGACCACATCAGCTGATTCAGAAAATGGCATTGGATAGACCACATCAGCTGGTTCAGAAAATGGCATTGGATAGACCACATCAGCTGGTTCTGAAAATGGCATTGGATAGACCACATCAGCTGGTTCTGAAAATGGCATTGGATAGACCACATCACCTGATTCAGAAAATGGCATTGGACAGACTACGTCAGCTGATTCAGAAAATGGCACTGGATAGACCACATCAGCTCTAGTTTCTGATACAGAACACATGCCATCCAGTAGTCCCCATCTGCTCGCCCACAGAAAACCATATTTAATTATCTAGAGCTGATGTGGTCTATCCATATATTGTATGAAACCTTAATAAGTGGTTGGTTGAACAGTCGTGGAACTAAACGAAAGGATGCGTATCTCGAAACATGGAAAGTTTGGAAAGCTGTGACCCAGGGTGACCCCAAGGAAATCGCTCAACACTCAGCCTCCTCAGAGGAAATCATGCCAAGAAAACCTCATGACAAGCTCACCATGGAAATTGGAAATTATCAAAGCATGCTTCCACCACCCTGTTTTTGCTTGTCAAGACCTCTGGAAGTGACCGACAAGGACTATGGTGGTATCGCCATGACCTTTGAGGGACACCCTCGCTCCCAACGACCACCCACCTGGGTGAACGGCGTAAAAGGTCACGTTGGTCCCTTGGAGCCTCCTGGCCAGCTCTCGGACGTGCAGGACGTTGGCCAGCTTGCTGTTGCAGTAAGACTGGAAGGCCTTCAGGTAGCCCTCCACCGGCTTGTGAATCTTCTGGAAGTCGACGGTCCCTTTGCGATGGACGTCGGAGGAAACGATGACCACGCGGCTGGGGGAGCACTGCTTGACGCGGTCCAAGAGGAGGTGGGTCAGGAGGAAGTGGCCCAAGTGGTTCACCTGGAAGGTCACGTTGAAGCCGTCCTCGGATTCGCCTTCGCAGATCACAGCTATGGGGAGGAAAGGCCGCATGAGAGAGCAAACACTAAGACCCAGAACTCCCATGACCAACAGAGAATACTTGAGTTTGGGAGTTGTAGTTCACCTACATCCAGTGGACTCAAATAATTATAGATCTGGACCAAACTTGGCATGAATAGTCAGTATGCCCAAATGTGAACACTGGTGAAGTTTGGGGAAAACAGAGCTTGATATTTGGGAGTTGTAGTTGCTGGGATGTATAGTTCACCTACAATCAAAGAGCATTGTGAACTCCACCAATGATGGAATTGAACCAAACTTGGCACAACCAACAGAGAATACTTGAGTTTGGGAGTTGTAGTTCACCTCCATCCAGTGGACTCAAACAATGATAGATCTGGACCAAACTCTACACGAAGACTCAATATGCCCAAATGTGAACACTGGTGGAGTTTGGGGAAAGTAGAGCTTAATATTTGGGAGTTGTAGTTGCTTGGATTTATAGTTCTCCTACAATCAAAGAGCATTGTGAACTCCATCAATGATAGAACTTGGGCCAAACTTGGCACACAGAGCTCCCACAACCAACAGAGAATACTGGAAAGGTTTGGTGGGCATCGACCTTGAGTTTGTGAGTTGTAGTTCACCTACATCCAGTGGACTCAAACAATGATAGATCTGGACCTATCATTGACCTACAATCAAAGAGCATTGTGAACTCCACCAATGATGGAATTGAACCAAACTTGGTACACAGAACTCCCATGTCCAACAGAAAATACTGTGTTTTCCAATAGTCCTTGACAACCATCTGACACCCCATTGCGACCCTCCCAGGGGTCCCGACTGCCAGGTTGAGAAACACTGATCTATGGCGTGTTCTGTTTCCCAAGAAAACCCCAACGGTTGTAATGGCGTCACCATCGTTGGACAGGCAAATGGAAGGAATGGCGGGAAGCCCCACTGTGGGTTCAGCTCTGACCAGCTTCTGGGATCATAACCACCGAAGAATATAAGTCGATGGCCGACGTCCCTGTGTTATCACCCAGGCGTTACCCCTGAGAGGGCCACCTAAGGTCGTTGCCCAGATATGGAGCTTGTCAACAGACCGGCCAGTCTGCTTGGGAGGTCTAGGGTCAATCCCACCTCCCATTATCCCTGAGAGGGCCACTTAAGGTCGTTGCCCAGACATGGAGCTCGTCAACGGACCGGCCAGTCCGCTTGGGCGGTCTGGGGTCAATCCCACCTCTCGTTATCCCTGAGAGGGCCACCTAAGGTATTTGCCCAGACATGGAGCTTGTCAACGGACCGGCCAGTCCGCTTGGGAGGTCTGGGGTCAATCCCACCTCCCGTTATCCCTGAGAAGGCCACCTAAGGTCATTGCCCAGACATGGAGCTCGTCAACGGACCAGCCAGTCCGCTTGGGAGGTCTGGGGTCAATCCCACCTCCCATTATCCCTGAGAGGGCCACCTACGGTCTTTGCCCAGACATGGAGCTCGTCAACGGATCGGCTAGTCCGCTTGGGAGGTCTGGGGTCCACCCCACCTCCTGTTATCCCTGAGAAGGCCACCTAAGGTCATTGCCCAGACATGGAGCTCGTCAACGGACCAGCCAGTCCGCTTGGGAGGTCTGGGGTCAATCCCACCTCCCATTATCCCTGAGAGGGCCACCTACGGTCTTTGCCCAGACGTGGAGCTCGTCAACAGACCGGCCAGTCCACTTGGGAGATCTGGGTTCAACCCCACCTCCCGTTATCCCTGAGAGGGCCACCTAAGGTCGTTGCCCAGACATGGAGCTCGTGTACGGACCAGTCAGTCCGCTTGGGAGGTCTAGGGGTCAACCCCACCTCTCGTTATCCCTGAGAGGGCCACCTAAGGTTGTTGCCCAGACATGGAGCTCGTCAACAGACCGGCCAGTCCACTTGGGAGATCTGGGTTCAACCCCACCTCCCGTTATCCCTGAGAGGGCCACCTAAGGTCGTTGCCCAGACATGGAGCTCATCAATGGACTGGTCAGTCCGCTGGGGAGGTCTGGGGTCAACCCTACCACCAGGCCAAGCTCTGACCTGCGTTGTTAATGAGGATGTCCAGGCGGGCCTCCGACTGCAAGAAGTCCTCCGCAAAAGCTCGGACGGAACGCAGGCTGCCCAAGTCCAGGCTCATGTAGAGCACCTCGTTGTTCCCGCTTTCCTGTGGACAGGGAAACACGGAAAACCACGGGAAGCAAGTTAGTTGTCAACCGGTCTTCGGTTCAGTTCCTCTGAGGCAGTGTTTCTCAACCTTCCTAATGCCGTGACCCCTTAGTACAGTTCCTCATGTTGTGGTGACCCCCAACCATAACATTATTTTCATTGCTACTTCCTAACTGTAATTTTGCTACTATTGTGAATCGTAACGTAAATATCTGATATGCAAGATGTATTCTCATTTGACACAAATACATCCTAATTTGAATACTGGTGGGCTTGGGTTGTCATTTGAGAGTTGTAGTTCCTGAGATTTATAGTTAACCTACAATCAAAGAGCATTTTGTACTCCACCAACGATGGAATTGAACCAATCTTGACACACAGAACTTCCATGACTAACATAAAATACTAGAAGGGTTTGATGGGCATTGACCTTGAGTTTGGGAGTTGTAGTTCACCTCCATCCAGAGAACACTGTGGACTCAAACAATGATGGATCTGGACTAAAGTTGGCACAAATACTCAATATACCCAAACGTGAACACTGGTGGTTTAGAGAAAATAGACCTTGACATTTGGGAGTTGTAGTTGCTGGGATTTATAGTTCACCTACAATCAAAGGGCATTCTGAATCCCATAAACGATAAGATTTGGGCCAAATTTCCACACAGAACCCCCCATGACCAACAATACTGTGTTTTCCGATGGTCTTTGGTGACCCCTCTGACACCCCCTTGCAACCCCTCCAGGGGTTGTGACCCCCAGGTTGAGAAACACTGCTCTGAGGAATGATAACACAGCAGAGATGACTGAAGTGCAGGCATGGGCCAACTTGGACCTTCCATCCAGGTGTTTTGGACTCCAACCCCCACAATGCCCAACAACCTCAGGCCCTTTCCTTTCCCCCCTCAGCAGCTTAAGCTGAGTGCTGGCCCCATAACCAAAGTTTTGGACTCCAACCTCCACAATTCCTAACAGCCTCAGTCCATTTTCTTTTCCCCCTCAGTAGCTCAAGCTGAGTGCTGGGCCCATAACCAATGTTTTGGACTCCAAACCCCACAATTCCTAACAGCCTCAGGCCCTTTCCTTTCCTCTCTCAGTAGCTCAAGCTGAGTGCTGGGCCCATAACCAATGTTTTGGACTCCAACCTCCACAATTCCTAACAGCCTCAGTCCATTTTCTTTTCCCCCTCAATAGCTCAAGCTGAGTGCTGGGCCCATAACCAAAGTTTTGGACTTCAACCCCAGGATGGTTTCTTACCTTCCGGATCTCGCAGGCGGCAGATTCCCCCAGCTTCCTGTTTCGGCTTGCCACGATGACCCTGGCTCCTCTGCGGGCCAGGTCCAGCGCTGTAGCCTTCCCGATCCCACTGTTCCCACCTACGACAGAGAGCAAAGAGCCAACCAAGTCTGAATCCCAACCCTTGAAGTTGGAAGGACGCCAACTTCTCCGTGGCTGGTCGTACGCTTGGAAGGTGTGGCAGGTCCTCCTCCCCGTGCCCCTTCCACAGTCCCGGCCACCCTGTGACCCAAAGATACCCCCCAACATGCTGACCGGTGAGGAGGACCGTCTTGCCCCGCAGGCTGGTCTTGTTCCCGCACTCCTTCCCCTTGATGCACGTCCGGTAGACCACGGTATAGAGGCCCACCAGCAGCCCCAAACCTAGCAGGGTCAGCCTCAGGCCCATCAGGACCTCTCCGACCAACTCCATCGCGCCCTTTCCTGCAAGATTTGGCTCCGTCCGGGCAGCTCACCAAGAGCAAGCCTTCTCCTTCTTGCCCAGAGCTGCACAACACTCTCAGTTGCTCCTCCTCTCAGTTCTCAATCTCCTCCTCCAGCTCTGTTGTTTGTGGGCGAGTCCCGCTTCCTCCTAATCCAACGGTCAGGTTTGATGATCTAAGAGCAGATCTGTCAGATCCCAAAGGACTGGAGGAGCTGGATCCAGAAAAGCAGATGGTGAGCGGGAGTCGACTCAGGAGAGCTCGGCCAGCCCCAGGACACCATCGGAAGGCTTCGGGATTAGTACGTGTGTGAAGTCTTTGCATTTCAAGTCGGTGAAGTCGAACATGACCCCACCCCCCATAAGAGATAGTAACTTATAGTTTTGCTAAGGGCAAGGACACCAGGCTGGATAATAAGGGTTAAGCCTTGGTCAGTTTGGTGTTATGCTTTATGCTCTTTACTTACTTAGGCAATCCCTCGTTGGACGAGTAAGATGGTCTTCCTTGATGACTATTTTTGTGGGTTCGTAGGTGGCTGTGGAGCCCTCTTCTTGACCCGCATCTTCTCCCACAGTGAGGGCATTGGTTTCCAGGTGGAAGGTGGTCCCGGTCGGGGTTGGCTTGACGCGCCTTCCTCCTGGCACGTTTCTCTCTTTCACCCTCCACTCATGCCTCCTTGGATTCTGCAGCACTGCTGGTCACAGCTGACCTCCAGCTGGAGCCCTCAAGAGCCAGGGCTTCCTAGTTCTCAGTGCCAATGCTGCAGTTTTTAAGGTTGGCTTTGAGGCCATCTTTAAATCTCTTTTCCTGTCCACCAATGTTCCGTTTTCCGTTCTTAAGTTCAGAGTAGAGCAAATGCTTTGGGAGACGGTGGTCAGGCATCCGGTCCAGCGGAGTTGATGGCGAGGACCATCACTTCAATGCTGGTGGTCTTTGCTTCTTCCAGCACACTCCTGTGTTCCCAGGAGATTTGCAGGATTTTCCGGAGGCAGCGCTGATGGAATTGTTCCAGGAGTTGCATGTGACGTCTGTAGACAGTCCACGTCTTGCAGGCATATAGCAGGGTTGGGAGGACAATAGCTTTATAAACAAGCCCCTTGGTATCCCTACGGATGTCCCGGTCCTCAAACACTCTCTGCTTCATTCGGAAAATGCTGCACTCGCAGAGCTCAGGCGGTGTTGTATTTCGGTGTCGATGTTGACTTTGGTGGAGAGGTGGCTGCCAAGGGAGCGGAAATGGTCAACATGTTCTAATGTTAAACCATTAAGCTGTATCTCTGGCATTGAAGAGGGATTGGCTGGTGACTGCTGGAAGAACACTTTGGTTTTCTTGATGTTCAATGACAGGCCGAGCTTCTCGTATGCTTCTGTGAAGAGTGGCTTGTAGATCTTCTTCTGAATGCGCACAGACGACATTGTCATCAGCATACTGGAGTTCTATAACAGATGTTGTTGTAACCTTGGTTTTGGCTTTCAGTCTGCTGAGGTTAAACAGCTTGCCATCTGCTCTATTTTCATGTTTATAGCAGAAGTTAACCAATTTATTACTGAAAATCATGCCACAAAAGTATTTGACTTTTTCCATTTGAGGCACACCTGGGCTCCTGAGGGTCCCCCACCTCACAAACAAGGGACTCTCTTTCCCCCTCAGGGATAGATTTCCCTTTATGGACACTGGGGGAGGGTAGTTGGGTTTACTCTCTGTATTATGGTTTCTATATTTTCATATTTTCTCCCGTGTATGTAATCTTCTCCCGACCCTTTCTGACCCATTCCCTTTGTTGAAAAAATGTATAAAAATACAAGGAAGTCGCCCTGACCCTGGAAGGGCAGAGGTTAGCAATCACAAAGAACTCTTATCTATAGACATTCCTTGCATGGATAGTAACAAAAGGTAACATCCCTTGGCTTCAGAGGTATTTGGCCACCAAGGGAAATTACCAATTAGCAAACTCTTAATCATATCTCAATGGGATAAGGGGAAACCTTCAGAAAGTTTCCCCCTCCCAATCTGTCACTCATTCAACCTCTCACTAAAGACATCCACCTAAGTTCGCCCCCATTGTTCCTCTGTCTTTGCGGTTAAGGAAAACCCGGATTATGTTTACTGCCACCAATTGAGAGACAATAGACAGGTTTCGCTTGAAGGCCATTTAGGACTCTCTGAGCCACATGGACATTTCCTGAGTTCCATAATCCATTCAAGAATGCATTGTTTTCCCTTGTCCCACCTCTCTCCCTATTTGTCGACGCACCAAGGCGGCAGAAGCCTTCTGATTGGCCCAGGCGCTCCGCGGAAGCCCTGTGATTGGCCCAGGTGCTCGAGGGGCAGATGAGTCTCCTCCCAGCTGTTGAGGCGCCAGCCAATCACCTTCAAGCCAGGCTGGGAGGGAGGGGGAGTGGGAGAATCAAACCACACACAGTTTTTTCTATAAAAATGGCATTTATTTGTATTCATATGTATTCTTGCCTGACGAAATATCGCGGCTTTGCATCCTTTCCAGCTGGATCGCAATAAACAACTCTGTGGCTTTTCTTCAACTTGGTGAGACCTTTTTTGCATGTATTTTATTGTGTTGCTATTGTGTTTTGGTTTTATTTCATTGTAATATGCTGTTGGGCATGGCCTCATGGAAGCTGCCCTGAGTCCCCATTGGGGAGATGGTGGCGGGGTATTAAATAAAGTTTATTATTATTATTTATTATGATAATAGACACCTCTAAGGTCATGTGGCCATTGGCATGACTGCATGGAGCGCCCTTACCTTCCCCTATTGATCTACTCACATTTGCCTATTTTTGAACTGCTAGGTTGGCAGAAGCTGGGGCGGTCAGCAGAAGCTCACACCGCTCCCCAGCTTTGGACCTGCAACCTTTCGGAACAAGCTCAGCAGGCCAGCGGTTTAATCCACTGAGCCACAATACAATATTGCAAACGAAGAACCGTTTGAAACAACATAAACTGACCAGTATTTAATGTATTGTTGAAAGCTTTCATGGCCGGAATCACTGGGTTGCTGTGAGTTTTCTGGGCTGCCCTGCCATGTTCCAGAAGCATTCTCTCCTGACGTTTCGCCCCACATCTATGGCAGGCATCCTCAGAGGTTGTGAGGTCTTGTTGAAGGCTTTCATGGCCAGAATCACTGGGTTGTTGTAAATTTTTCAGGCTATATGGTCATGTTCTAGAAGCATTCTCTCCTGACGTTTCACCCACATCTATGGCAGCCATTCTCAGAGGTTGTGAGGTCTTGTCAAAGTTATTCATGGCCGGAATCACTGGGTTGTTTTAGGTTTTTCAGGCTATATGGCCATGTTCTAGAAGCATTCTCTCCTGGTGTTTCGCCTGCATCTATGGCAAGCATCCTAGGAGGATCTCTCAACCTCCGAGGATGCATCATAGATGCAGACAAAACATCAGGAGAGAATGCTTCTAGAACACAGCTATATAGCCCAAAAAACCTACAACAACCCAGTTGTGAGGTCTGTTGGAAAATAGGAAATTTTATCTGTGCAATGAAGACCAGGGTGGGAGAAACACCATTTTCCTAGTTTCCAATAGACCTCACAACCTCTGAGGATGCTTGTCATAGATGCAGGCAAAACGTCAGGAGAGAATGCTTCTAGAACATGGCCATATAGCCCGAAAAACCTACAATGCTATTCAATTGCCAATCTAAGAATATCATAGGATGAAACAATGGCATTTAAAGGAGAATCAGACACTTCACAACCTCTGAGGATGCTTGCCATAGATGCAGGCGTAATTTCAGGAAAGAATGCTTCTAGAATATGGCCATATAGCCCGAAAAACCTACAACAACACAGAGATTCCAGCTATGAAAGGCTTATGACAAGACCTCGCAACCTCTGAGGATGGCTGCCATAGATGTGGGCGAAACGTCAGGAAAGAATGCTTCTAGAACATGGCCATATAGCCTGAAAAACCTACAACCACCCAGTGATTCCAGCCATTAAAGCCTTTGACAAGACCTCACAACCTCTGAGGATGCTTGCCACAGATGTGGGCGAAATGTCAGGAGGGAATGCTTCTGGAACATGGCCATATAGCCCAAAAAACCTACAACCACCCAGTGATTCCAGCCATTAAAGCCTTCGACAAGACCTCACACCTCTGAGGATGCCTGCCATAGATGTGGGCGAAACATCAGGAGAGAATGCTTCTGGAACATGGCCAGACAGCCCATAAAACATACAACCCAGTGACCAATAATGGGGAATGTGTGCCTGCGTTTGATTGAGAAGATTGTCAACTTTGTTCGGATTGTCATTGTCGTTGTGTGCCTTCAAGTCATTTCAGACTTAGGGTGGAGGTCAAGGGCCGCATCTGGACCGCAGGCCTTTAGTTTGGGGACCTCCTGACCTAGTGGCCTCTATAAAGTCATTTTCTTGGGTACCAGCTTCCCTCCAGATTTCTGTCTTTGACCTTCTCCCAGTGTATTCCATTAGGGAAGCAAGGCTTTAATCCAAAACTTTGTGGAGTTGCAAGGACTGGGCAGGATGAGGGGATGCTGGGATGTGCACCACGGAAGTCCACGCAAAACGCTTGCTCCCATTTCCCCTTGTGTCCCACCTCTCTCTCTGGCATTCGACCAAAAATGCAGGGTGCTCACCTGGTTGTTCAATCCCAAACAAAGGGCCAGATCTCCGCAGGCGGCCTCTTACAACATGGCCGGTTCCTAGTAGTAGGACAACTCACCTGGCTCGAACGGGTGGCATGCTACACTGACAGGCTACTTATCCCGCACGTGTCCGACTCTGGTGCTCATCTCCATTTCTAAGCCAAAGAGCTGGCATTGTCCGTAGACACCTCCAAGGTCATGTGGCCACTCACAGGACTGCATGGAGCGCTGTTACCTTCCCACAGGAGCGGTACCTATTGATCTACTCACATTTGCATGTTTCCAAACTGCTAGGTTGGCAGAAGCTGGTGCTAATAGCGGGAGTTCATCCCACTCCCTGGATTCAAATTGCCCACCTTTCGGTCAGCAAGTTAGGCAGCTCAGCAGTTTAATCTGCTGTGCCACAAGGGGGTGCTGTTCTAGATGTAGTTTTCTTTTTCAGGTCAGGAGCAACATGACAAACTGCAAGTTGCTTCTTGTGTGAGATAATTGCCCATCTGCAAGGACGTTGGCCAGAATTGGCCGCCTGCAAGGACGTTGGCCAGAATTGGCCGTCTGGAAGGACGTTGCCCAGGGGATGTTGCCCAGAATTGGCCGTCTGCAAGGACGTTGCCCAGAATTGGCCGTCTGCAAGGATGTTGCCCAGGGGACGTTGCCCGGAATTGGCCGTCAGCAAGGACGTTGCCCAGAATTGGCTGTCTGCAAGGACGTTACCTAGGGGATGTTGCCTGAAATTGGCCATCTGTAAGGACGTTGCTCACAATTGGCCGTCTGCAAGGACGTTGCCTAGGGGATGTTGCCTGGAATTGGCCGTCAGCAAGGACGTTGTCCAGAATTGGCTGTCTGCAAGGACGTTGCCTAGGGGATGTTGCCTGGAATTGGCCATCTGTAAGGATGTTGCCCAGAATTGGCTGTCTGCAAGGACGTTGCTCAGTTGATGTTGCCCTGAATTGGCTGTCTGCAAGGACGTTGCCCAGTTGATGTTGCCCAGAATTGACCGTCTGCAAGGACGTTGACCAGAATTGGCAGTCTGCAAGGACGTTGCCCGGATGTTTTGATGTTTTACCATCCTTGTGGGAGGCTCATCCGTGCTCTCCTCGGATTCGAACCTCTGACCTGTCAGCACAAGCTTGGGAGCCCCCATTGTGCCACCGGAGGCTCCCAAACGGTAGACTTAGGTTGACCCTAAGTCTAAAGTTTGGGGAGAGGGGTGGGTGCGAACCCCTGCTTTAAATGAGCCTCAGACCTCGATCTCAGAAGAGCCCCGAAATGCGGCAGGAGGAGGAGGGCCTGAGTGCTTCTTCCGGAGTCCCGACAGACAGGCAGAGACACCGGTGAGTGCCGTATTTTGTGTTGTTTTATATACAGAATACAGGGGCGGAAGGGGGAAAAAGAAGAGAAAAGAAAAATGTTTCCGTAGAAGCCTAAAACATTGCAATTACTTCTGTACATCGGCTGTGGAGAGAATAAGGGTGGGGGGGTTGGGTGGGGGGGGTCGAGAGAGGGAGAGGAGGACATAAAAACAGGCTCACGACAAAGAAACGCTTTGCTACAATAGACAAACCGGAGGCAACGTCATACCACAACGGAGCACTGTACACAGCTTAAAAAACACGGAGTGGGGGGGAAAAAAATGCCGTCGGTGGGGGGTTATTTACACAGAAAGGCCTCCCCCTCCCCTCCCCTCCCTTCCCACTGCAAATACTTCTCGTCATCGTCTGCAAAACAGGATGGATGCCAGAATAATAATTAATTAATAATAATTAATGAATTAATAGTTGGAGAAAAGCGCCCCCCCTCTCTTCTCACTGCCACCGTCACAGAGGTGAACTTGCAGCAGGGAGGGGAGGAAGGAAAAAAAAAAGAAAAGAAAGAGAATAATAATAGAGCAACGCCTTTACAATTAAATAATACAACCGTGATAATGGTATAGAATTTTTTTTTTTGTTTGCGGTATGAAAACTGTATTTCTTTCTTTCTCTCTTTTTTTTTTAATATAAAAAACTATTGTCACTGGCACAAAATAGAACAAGTTTCTGGGTCTTTTTTCTTTTTTTTTTACAACGGCCGGCGGAAGGGGCGAAGTGTCCGCTGCAGTTTCCTCCTCCGGTGGGTTCGGGCTCTTAAATGAAATGTATATAGTACAAATATATGTGCAAATGCCCCCTAAAACTTGAGCAAACCATTACAAAAAAAAAGAAAGAAAGGAGAGAGACTCTGAAAGTTCTTCTTCATGTCACCCATGCACAAGGGGAGAGTCAAGGGGGAAAGGCGAGGGTCTCTGATCCCCCCCCTCGGACACCCCCCCCTCGGCGTGGGTCCTAGGGCACCGAGTGGGAGCGCAGCACGGGGACCTGGTGGGCCTTGGCCAGGGGCAGCTTCTCCTCCAAGTCCGCCTCCCCGCCAACGCCAACACCGCCAACGCCCCTGGGTTGTTTGGTCGCAAACTCCGTGACGCTGAAGACGAACTGGAGGCAGCCCAGCTTGATGTAGCTGCCGTGGTGGAGGAGGGCCGTCCCCTCCCAGCCAGCCCCACTGCCCCCAATCAGGCTGGAGCTGCTGGCCTTGCAGTTGCACGGGCGCAGCGCCGGGCCCTGAGCCTGGGAGCGCATCGCCATCACCGCCGACGACCCTGCCACTGCCACCCCGGGGGCCTCCTCGCTGGGAGGAACTTCCTCCTGCTTCTGCTGCTGCTGCTGCTTCCGGCTCTTGTGGCGCTCTGGGGGAAAAAAGACACGGCTGGAGACAAGGCCTCAATGGAACAGGAAAGGACTGGTCATTCCATATAATAATAATAATAATAACAACAACAACAACAACAATTATTTTGGAGGAGATTTCATCTGAACATGAGGAAGAACTTCCTGACTGTGAGAGCTGTTCAGCAGTGGAACTCTCTGCCGCGGAGTGTGGTGGAGGCTCCTTCTTTGGAAGCTTTTAAGCAGAGGCTGGATGGCCATCTGTCAGGGGTGATTTGAATGCAATATTCCTGCTTCTTGGCAGAATGGGGTTGGACTGGATGATGGCCCAGGAGGTCTCTTCCAACTCTAGGATTCTAGGATTCTATGATTTACTTACTTACTTTATTTGTATACCGCTCTTCTCAGCCAATTAGGCGACTCAGAGCAGTTAACAATAGAAGCAGCAAAAATTCAATGCAACACCATACAGCCATTTAAAAACAATTAACACACGAATACACTAAGCAAATAACATCAATAAACATCAATAACCAGTTCACTAGCGTCTCATAACTAAAATCATAATCCAAGTTCGTCATCCGTTGTTCCGATTCCTATGATTCATTGCAATTCATTGCACTGCCTATTCAAACGCCTGTTCAAATAACCAGGTTTTCACTTACTTCCGAAATGCCATTAATGAGGGAGCTGATCTGATGTCTGTGGGAAGGGCGTTCCACAGCCGAGGGGCCACCACCGAGAAGGCCCTGTCTCTCGTCCCTGCCAACCGCGCCTGTGATGCAGGCGGGACGGAGAGCAGGGCCTCCCCGGATGATCTTAGTGTCCTAGTCGGTTCATAGGAGGAGAGGTAAGTAGGGCCAGAACCGTTTAGGGTTTATAGGCTAACGCCAGCACTTTGAATTGTGCCCGGTAGCAAACTGGCAGCCAGTGGAGCTGGCGTAACAGCGGAGTGGTGTGCTCCCTGTACCCAGCCCCTGTTAGTAATCTGGCTGCCGAGCGTTGGACTAGTTGAAGCTTCCGAGCAGTCTTCAAAGACAACCCCACGTAGAGAGCGTTGCAGTAGTCTAAACGGGATGTAACCAGAGTGTGGACTACCTTTATTTGTACCCCGCTACCATCACCCCAGGGGACTCAGTGCGGCTTACATGAGGCCAAGCCCAAACACAACAATTAAAAAACATAAACAATAAAATACACAACATTATCAATAATACAACACATAATTAAAAACAGTGGGAAGGCCAAATGCAGAGTTAAAATTGGGAATAATGCTGGGACATGGACGAAAAGGTGATAGTGGTGTTTGTGGAAGGGCATACAAGCAGACCTAAAGAAATGTAAAGTGTTGTTGTAGGTTTTTCTGGGCTATACGGCCATATAGCCCGGAAAAACCTACAACAACCCAGTGATTCCGGCCATGAAAGCCTTCAACAATACACATGTAAAGTGCTTTGGAGGACAAAGTGCTATGGGGTCATTATTCCGGGAAGGCACACTGGAACAGCCACGTCTTCAAGCTCCTCCTGAAGAGTGCCAGAGTTGGAGCTTGTCTGATGTCTAGACAGTGAGTTCCAGAGTTGAGGGGCCGCCACCGAAAAGGCCCTCTCTCTCATCCCCACCAATCGTGCCTGCGATGCTGGTGGGATCGAGAGCAGGGCCTCTCCGGAAGATCGAAGGGACCATGTAGGTTCGTATACAGAGATGCGATCCACAGATATATAAAACCCCTTTTGCCTAGTTCCAACAGACCTCACTACCTCTGAGGATGCTTGCCATAGATGCAGGCGAAACGTCAGGAGAGAATGCCTCTAGAACATGGCCATATAGCCCGAAAAAACCTACAACAACCCAGTGATTCCGGCCATGAAAGCCTTCGACAACAACAACAACCCTGTCTCAGAGTCCAGTGGAGGCTTTGAAACAGAGGCTGGATGGGCTTTGTTGGTGCCTTTCCTGCTCCTGGCGTCTCTTCTAACTCTAGGATTCTATTATACTAGCTGTACCCGGCCACGCCTTGTTGTGGCCTAGTCACGTTAAATGGTAATGAAAAGAGAAAGAGCTGGGGTCTGATAAATGTCGATTTTCCTTCCTTCTTTCTCTCCTTTCTTTCCCTCTTTGTTTCCATCCTCCATCCCTCTTCCTCTCCCTCCTTACTTCTCTTCTTCCTTTCCTACCTCTTTCTTTCCTTCCCTCCTGCTTTCCTTCCTTACCTTTTTTCTTTCCTTCCTTCCTTCCTCCTTTTCTTCCTTATCCTCTTTTCCCCCTTCTTCTTTCTCTCCTTTCTTCCTTTTCTACCTTTCCTTCCTTCGCTCTTTGCATCCATACTTCCTTCTCTCCTTCCTTTCTTCCTTCTTTTTCTCCTCCTTTCCTTCTCTCCTTCCTTATCCTCTTTTTCTTTCCCTTCCTCTTCCTCTCCTTTCTTCCTTCTCTACCTTTCCTTCCTTCCTTCGCTCTTTGCGTCCATACTTCCTTCTCTTTCCTTCCTTCCCTCTTTCTCTCCTTCTTTCCTTCATTCCTTCCTTCTCCCCTTTTTCTTTCCCTTCTACTTTCTCTCCTTTCTTCCTTCGCTCTTTGCTTCTATCCTTATTTTCTCTCTTTCCTCTTCCTTCCCTCCCTCTCCTTCCTTTCTTCCTTCTCTTTTTGCTTCCTTCCTTCCCCCCTTTCTCTCCTTTCCTTCTCTCCTTCCTTCTCCCTTTTTCTTTCCCCTTTCTCTCCTTTCTTCCTTCCTCTTTCTTCTTTCCTTTTTCTCTCCTTCCTTCCTCCCTCTCTCTCCTTCCTTCCTTCTCTTTTTGCTTCCTTCCTTCCCCACCTTTCTCTCCTTTCCTTCTCTCCTTCCTTCTCCCTTTTTCTTTCTCCACTTTCTCTCCTTTCTTCCTTCACTCTTTGCTTCTATCCTTATTTCTCTCTTTCCTTCCTTTCCACCCTCTTTCTTGCCTTTCTTCCTTCTCTACCTTTCCTTCCTTCCTTTTCCTTCCTTTTCCTTCCTTCCTTCCATTTCTTTCTTTCTTTCCTTCGTTACTTCTCTTCCTCTTTTTTTCCTTCTCTTTTTCTTTCTGTTCTTCTTTCTTCCTTCTCTACTTCTTTCTTTCCTTCCTTCCTTCCTTCTTTCCCTACCTCACTCATTTTTATATAGATAGCTACAATCTCTCTCTTGCTCTCAGACATATCTATCCATGGCTGGATGGCCATCTCTTGGGAGTGCTTTGAAAGACAAGGTCAAAATAAAGTTAATCATAATCTCAATAACGACAACAGATGGCTTCCAGGCATTTTTCTGGAAGGCGAATCCTGAGCCAAATACCATATTCTGTCTCATTCTCCCTGGGACTTGTAGGGTGGGATTTGGGCAAAGGAGACCATCTCTGAGGGGCTTTTGAACCCACTCCAGGGCTAAAACTAGAATTCACAGCAGTTTAATCAACACAAATATTCGATATCTGCAAAACTAAGACTTGCAGAAACTTTTCCGGCACGGAAGGGAATCTGCTGTGTTTGGGCTCTGCTCATTCAGATCTTCACTTTGTTTACGGACGCTTTCCTGGGATTGGCCGTGTTCCGGGGCCGTCCCACTGTCTATGGAAATGGGGATTTGCGAGGGAGAAAGGCCCCAACAAGCCGAGAACTTACTGATCACGCTTTGTACTTTGGCAACCATGCTGCTGGGCGGGACGAGGGCCGTCTTCTCCGAGAAGTCACACGAATACAGGACATTGTCCACCGTTGTGCCGTGTTCGCTGTAGTTGAGCAGCTCGTAATGCTTGGTGTTCTGGGGAAGACCGGGAAAAGCAGGGCGAGACTATTACGCGATGAAAAATAACAACAGCCTGGTGTTCTGCGTGGTCAATGCCCACCAAACCCTTCCAATATTTTCTTTTGGTCGTGGGAGTTCTGTGTGCCAAGTTTGGTTCAATTCCATCGTTAGTGGGGTTCAGAATATTCTTTGATTGGAGGTGAACTATAAATCCCAGCAACTACAACTCCCAAATGTTAAGGTCTGTTTTCCCCAAACTCCACCAGTGTGCACATTTGGGCATATTGACTATTCATGCCAAGTTTGGTCCAGATCTGTCATTGTCTGAGTCCATAGTACTCTCTGGATGGAGGTGAACTACAACTCCCAAACTCAAGGTCAATGCCCACCAAACCCTTCCAGTATTTTCCATTGGTCGTGGGAGTTCTGTCTGCCAAGATCGGCTCAATCCCATGGTTGGTGGGGTTCAAAATGCTCTTTGATTGGAGATGAACTATAAATCCTAGCAACTACAACCCCCAAATATCAAGCTCTACTTTCCCCAAACTCCACCAGTGTTCACATTTGGGCATATTGACTATTCACACTAAGTTTGGTCCAGATCTATCATTGTTTGAGTCCACTGGATGTAGGTGAACGACAACTCCCAAACTCAAGGTCAATGCCCATCAAACCCTTCCAGTATTTTCTGTGGCTGTCAGAGTTCTGTCTGCCAAGATTGATTCAATTCCATAGTTGGTGGGGTTCAGAATGCTCTTTGATTGGAGGTGAACTATAAATCCCAGCAACGACAACTCCCAAATGTCAAGTCTATTTTCCCCAAACGACACTAGATTTGAGCACACTGAGTAGTGGTGCCAAGTTTGGTCCAGATCCATCACTGTGTGAGTCCACGTTGCTCTCTGGAGCAAACTCAAACTCAAGGTCAATGCCCACCAAACCCTTCCCGTATTTTCTGTTCATCGTGTGAGTTCTGTCTGCCAAGATTTTATTTATTTATTTATTTATATTATATCTATCCCACCCATTTCCGCCCAAAGGCAACTCAGATTGGCTCAATTCTATCGTTGGTGGGGTCCAGAATGCTCTTTCATTGGAGGTGAACTATAAATCCCAGCAACTACAACTCCCAAATGTTAAGGTCTATTTTCCCCAAACTCCACCAGTGTGCACATTTGGGCATATTGAGTATTCATGCCAGGTTTGGTCCAGATCCATCATTGTTTGGTCCACATCGTTCATTTCATTCTAGTTTCTAAACTGCTTTGCCTTCGGGAAGAGGCATCAGCCCCCAACAGCTCTGCGACTATTACGTGAGGAACACAAAAATACCGATTTCACCATCCCCGAAAAACGCGCAACTAGTACACAATGAAATATGGAGTATATCCTCATGGACTTGCTCCTTCGCAGAGCATCCTGTGACGCACCTCGTCATAAAAGATGCAGGCATGCTTGCCCGACACGTAGTTGCAGTGACCATAGTTCGTAAGGCACACGTCCATGTCGGCTCCTGTCAAAAGAGGAGAGGACGCAAGCCATGAATACGGGGTGGGCCAGCAAAGGCCCTGGCAAAGGGTTCAAGGACAGCCCAGCCTCCACTTCCTCTCCTTTCCAGCCAGAAGGGACCCTGGAAGGCCTGCCAGAGACCCCCCCCCCCAGGGGTGGTGGTCGCGCTGAGGGCGGGGCCTTGCCTGCTCCGATGTAGAGAGTCCTGTAGCACATGTTGACAGCGCTGCCCATCCCCAGGAGCGGGTAGAAGACGGCCCGGGCCTGCACCTCCTTCTCCTGCCCTGCAAGACAGAAAAGTGTTTTCTGAAGTGTGGTCATATCCATTTGGGAATGCCCAGCACTATTTATGAGCAAAAAGCCAGTCTTTCCTTTTGTTTTCTATGAATGCTCCCATTAGAGAAATGCATAAGGAGGTGGGTGAACTACAATTCCCAGAAACGTGAGTCAATCCTTCCACACCCTGCTCTTCTTCAAAGTTGGGTCTGTGTGCCAAGGGTGGTCCAGGTCCGATATCCGCTGGATTCAATGATATCTAGACAAGGGTGAACTATAAGTCCCAGGTTCCCAGGGCAATCACCCACCAACCCAGCCAGTAATCCCAGTTGCCCATGTTGGGTCTGTGGGCAAAGTTTGGTCCAGATCCATTGTCAGTGCTCTCTGGATAAGGGTGAACTACAACTCCCAGTTTTTGTTTTTTTGGCTTTTAAAGTCTCTTCTTGTTTTTCAGTGTTTTTATGATTGATGGTCACTTGTTGGTCTGTTAGGGGTGTAGTGTCCAAATTTGGTGTCAATTCCCCCAGTGGTTTTTTTTACTTAATCCCACAAACAAACATGACATTTTTATTTATATAGACTAGCTGTACCTGCCACACGTTGCTGTGGCCAACCTTCCCTCTTTCTCTCCTTTTTCCCCTCCTTCCTTCACTCCCTCTTTCCTTCCTTCCTGTCTTTCCTCCTCTTCTTCCTTCCTTTTTTTCTTTCTCTTCTGTTGTCTCTTTTTTCTTCCTTCTCTCTTTCCTTCCCTCCCTCTTTCTCTACATCTTCCCCCCCTTCCTTTGCTCCCTCTTTCCTTCCTTCTTTCCCTTCTTTCCTTCTCTCCTTCCCTTTTCTTTCCTTCCCTTTCTCTCCTTTCTTCCTTCTCTACCTCTTTCCTTCCTTCTCTCTTTGCTTCCATGTTTCCTTCTCCCTTTTCTTCTTTTCTTTCTTTCTCTCCGTCTTTCTTTTTCTCTTTCTTTTCTTTTTTGCCTCTTCCCTCCCTCTTTCTTCCCTTTTTTCTGTATTGTCATTTTGCTTTTTATCATTTAGCTTTTGGGGGTTTTCAGTCCCTTCTGCTGTGTTTTTCAGTGTTTTTTTTTTTTTTTTTGAGTGAAGGACATAGATTGGGTTGTGAGGTGCCTTGTGTCCAAATTTGGTGTCAATTCCCCCAGTGGTTTTTGAGTTCTGTTGATCCTACAAACGAACATTACCTTTTTATTTATATAAATAAGATTATATTATTATAATATTATTATAATTATTATATTACATAATTATATGTGTGTATGTATGTACTAGCCGTCCCCTCCACGTGTTGCTGAGGCTCAGTCTGTGTATATGTGTTTTGTGTGTATATATATATGTGTGTATATATTTGTGTATATGTGTGTTTGCCCATATATATGTGGTTTTGTACATGTGTTGCAATGGGGTTTTTGTTTTTTGGCTTTTAAAATCTCTTTTGCTGTGTTTTTCTGAGTGATGGTCACTCATTGGCTTGAGAGGTGTGTTGTGCCCAAATTTGGTGTCCATTCATCCAGTGGTTTTTGAGTTATGCTAATCCCACAAACAAACATTACATTTTTATTTATATAGATGTATGTGTATAGATAACAACAACAACAACAACAATAATAATAGTGGAATTTAATTGTATCGTACTTGGTTTTAGTGTGAGCCGCTTAGCAAGTAAATGTGGGAGAGAAATGTATGTATATTTCTGTATGTCTGGGGTACCTTCGGAGGGGTGGTCCTGTGGGCTGGGCGGCTGGGGCCCGAGGCTGCCCGCGAAGGGCTGGACCTTCGACGTGAAGAGCTGGTGTAGTCTCTGCAAGGCCAGGAACTTGATCAACCTCTCGTCCAGCATATTGATCTCGATCTCTGCGGAAGGAGAAACATGGCGGTTCAGTGAAAGCCCCGGGAGACCCTTCGGGAGTCGCCCACCAAAGAAAGGTGCCGCTCGGCCCGAGAGAGGCTCACCTCCGCTGCCGTCCATCAATGCTTTCAAGGACCCGGCGAGGTCCAGCGCGGCCGAAGAATTGGAAAGGAGCAAGGAGGGGGAGGCCAAGAGGCTGCCGAGGGGCAAGGCGCTGGGACTGGCCTTGCCGTCTGGAAGGAAGAGGAAGAGCAAGGATGGGTCAGGAGCCTGGCTTTGGCCCACCTTTTCCTTGAGGGACACATCAACCTATTATGGTGGCCTCCAAAAGGACCCATATCCAACTAGAATTTGTTTACATAGTGGTCAGTGCTCTGTAGTTTTGACCCGATTTGGGATCCCTGGCTATTACTGAAGGACAACAGTAATGGATGATCTGGGGATAATGGGGATTGCAACCCTGGGGTTGGGGAAACCACAAAGTCAGGCCTCCTACCCACAAAAGCCTTAGGTCTCCATTCCAAACCCCATTCCCCTGATACACCGCACCTAAGGTGTATCACAACTCTCATCAGCTTAAGGTACAGGAAGGTTTTCCCCTTGCTGTGTTAATTCGGACTGTTGATGTTGTTGTTGTGGGCCTTCAAGTTGTTCTAGACTTAGTAAAGGTAAAGGTTTCCCCTCGTGTCCAACTCTGTGGGGTGGTGCTCACCTCCATTTCTAAGCCAAGGAACCAGTGTTGTCCATAGACACCTCCAAGGTCATGTGGGCAGCGTGACTGCATGGAGGGCTGTTACCCACCTGCAGAAGCAGTACCTATTGATCTACTCACATTTGCATGTTTTCGAACTGCTAGGTTGGCAGTAGCGGAGGCTGACAGCAAGAGCTCACGCCACTCCCAGGATTCGAACCGCCAACCTTTCAGTCCGCAAGTTCAGCAGTTTAACCCACTGTATCACTATTAGTAAAGATTTCTACTTGACATTAAGTCCAGTCACGCCTGACTCTGGTGCTCATCTCCATTTCTAAACTGAAGAGCTGTCCTAGGTCATGTGGCCAGCATGACTGCATGGAGCACCGTTGCCTTCCTGCCGGAGCGGTACCTATTGTAAAGGTTTCCCCCTGACATGAAGTCCAGTCATGTCTGACTCTGGGGGTTGTTGCTCATCTCTATTTCTAAACTGAAGAGCCAGCATTGTCCGTAGACACCTCCTAGGTCACCCAGCATGACTGCATGGAGAACCCTTACCTTCCTGCCGGAGCGGTACCTATTGTAAAGGAAAAGGTTTTCCCCCTGACATTAAGTCTACTCTGAGGGTTAGTGCTCACTTCCATTTCTAAACTGAAGAGCCGGCGTTGTCCGTAGACACCTCCTAGGTCATGTGGCCAGCATGACTGCATGGAGCACCGTTACATTCCCACTGGAGCAGTACCTATTGATCTGCTCACATTTGCATGTTTTTGAACTGCTACGTTGGCAGAAGCTGGGGCTAACAGAAGGAGCTCACGCTGCTCCCCAAATTCGAACCTGCAACCATTCGGTCAACAAGTTCAGCAACTCAGCGCTTTAACCCACTGTGTCACTGGGGGTCTCGCAACAAATTGTGTTACATAGTGTAATAGTCACAAGAACTAAAGACGGTCATTCAGTAACTGGCCTTTTGGTGGGAGCCAAAGGCATAGAGGGTTCAGCAAGATCAGCAGCTCAGCGGTTTAACCCACTGCGCTACTGGGAGCTCCTCATCAACTTAGTCACAGATTTAATGGCCCTTTGAAAGTAACCGTAAGGCAGGAGAGACCCTCAATGGAGATGAGCTGCGTTACGAGAAACCTGAGGCCTAGAGAGAAGCCGAATTCTGACCCTGGAGGTGGTTCGTGTTTGGTTTGGAGGCAAACGGAAGCCCTTGTTTTGCAAGCACGGATGGGCTTGTTTTCTGCCTGGGGGTGCCTCAAGGCCAAGGGGCGCCCCCGCTCTCACCTGGAGGGGGTGCCGGGGAGCAGAAGCCGTGGGCGGCCCGGATGGAGGAGGCGCTGCCGTCGCCCAGGGCGGCCTGGGGAGGGGTCAGTGCCCGGGTGGCGGTCAGAGGGGACTCCAGGGCCCCCAGGTCCATGGAGAGCAGGGACCCCGCCTGCGCCTGCGCGTTCTTCAGCCCCCGGTGTGCGCAGGAGAGCGGGCCCGCTGCGTTCTCCGTCTTCACCACGTGGTTGAGGAGCCCGACACTGGCCGCCGGGGGAGTGGCGGGCCGGGGCCAGGGTTGTTGTTGCTGCTGCCGTTGTGGCAAGACCGCAGGGAGGCCGGCCCCATAGAAGTGCGGCCCGTTGGCCTTGGCGTCCGTTGGGGCAACGTTGGGGCCGTTGGCGGTCCCGCAGGGGGAGGCCTTCCTGGGCCGGTCCGTGCACGGGGAGAAGCGGGCGTCCTCCGGGAAGGAGTTCTGGGCGGAGGCCAAGTAGAGCGAAGGGAGGTCGGCCTTGTCGGGGGCCGAGACCACCACCGGCTTCACGTCGGCCTTCTCCGCCTGCTCCGAGTCCCAAGGCGAAGGAGGAGGCGCCTGCTTGGCAGACAAGTGTTTCAAGATGCTGCACTGCAGGGCCACCACGCTGCACAACCACTGCAAGCCGGAGGAAAAGAAAAGGCCACACGTGAGGAGACTGCAGCTCTTTGGGGGCCTTCCTAGGGATAGCCACACTCTCTTTGGTCTGCCAGGGGTTTTGGACTTCAACTCCCACCATTCCTAACAGCCCCTCAGCTGCTTAAGCTGAGTGCTGGGCCCATAACCAACATTAGGACCAATTGCCAGTGTGGGGTGTGAGGAAGCTTCCTTGACAGCAGGCATGGGCAAACTTTGGCCCTCCCTCCAGGTGTTTTGGACCCCAACTCCCAACTCCCCCCATTCCTAACAGCCTCAGGCCCCTTCCTTTTCTCCCTCAGCTGCTTAATCCGAGTGCTGGGCCCATAACCATCCTTAGGAGCAATTGTTTTGGACCCCAACTCCAGGTGTTTTGGATCCCAACTCCCAACTCCAGGTGTTTTGGACCCCAACTCCCAACTCCAGGTGTTTTGAACCCCAACTCCTACCTCCAGGTGTTTTGGACCCCAACTCCAGGTGTTTTGGATCCCAACTCCCAACTCCAGGTGTTTTGGACCCCAACTCCCAACTCCAGGTGTTTTGGACCCCAACTCCTACCTCCAGGTGTTTTGGACCCCAACTCCAGGTGTTTTGGATCCCAACTCCCAACTCCAGGTGTTTTGGACCCCAACTCCCAACTCCAGGTGTTTTGAACCCCAACTCCTACCTCCAGGTGTTTTGGACCCCAACTCCTAACTCCAGGTGTTTTGGACCCCAACTCCTAACTCCAGGTGTTTTGGACCCCAACTCCCAACTCCAGGTGTTTTGGATCCCAACTCCCAACTCCAGGTGTTTTGGACCCCAACTCCCAACTCCAGGTGTTTTGAACCCCAACTCCTACCTCCAGGTGTTTTGGACCCCAACTCCAGGTGTTTTGGATCCCAACTCCCAACTCCAGGTGTTTTGGACCCCAACTCCCAACTCCAGGTGTTTTGAACCCCAACTCCTACCTCCAGGTGTTTTGGACCCCAACTCCCAACTCCCACAATTCCTAACAGCCTCAGGCACCTTCCTTTTCCCCCACAGCTGCTTAATCCGAGTGCTGGGTCCATAACCATCATTGCGATCAATTGTTTTGGACCCCAACTCCCAACTCCCCCCATTCCTAACAGCCTCAGGCCCCTTCCTTTTCTCCCTCAGCTGCTTAATCCGAGTGCTGGGCCCATAACCATCCTTAGGAGCAATTGTTTTGGACCCCAACTCCAGGTGTTTTGGATCCCAACTCCCAACTCCAGGTGTTTTGGACCCCAACTCCTAACTCCAGGTGTTTTGAACCCCAACTCCTAACTCCAGGTGTTTTGAACCCCAACTCCTAACTCCAGGTGTTTTGGACCCCAACTCCTAACTCCAGGTGTTTTGGACCCCAACTCCTAACTCCAGGTGTTTTGAACCCCAACTCCTAACTCCAGGTGTTTTGGACCCCAACTCCTAACTCCAGGTGTTTTGGACCCCAACTCCTAACTCCAGGTGTTTTGGACCCCAACTCCTAACTCCAGGTGTTTTGGACCCCAACTCCTAACTCCAGGTGTTTTGGACCCCAACTCCTAACTCCAGGTGTTTTGAACCCCAACTCCTAACTCCAGGTGTTTTGGACCCCAACTCCTAACTCCAGGTGTTTTGGACCCCAACTCCCAACTCCCACCATTTCTAACAGCCTCAGGCCCCTTCCTTTTCTCCCTCAGCTGATCAATCCGAGTGCTGGGCCCATAACCATCCAGGTGTTTTGGACCCCAACTCCTAACTCCAGGTGTTTTGGACCCCAACTCCTAACTCCAGGTGTTTTGGACCCCAACTCCTAACTCCAGGTGTTTTGGACCCCAACTCCTAACTCCAGGTGTTTTGGACCCCAACTCCTAACTCCAGGTGTTTTGGACCCCAACTCCTAACTCCAGGTGTTTTGGACCCCAACTCCTAACTCCAGGTGTTTTGGACCCCAACTCCTAACTCCAGGTGTTTTGGACCCCAACTCCCAACTCCCACCATTTCTAACAGCCTCAGGCCCCTTCCTTTTCTCCCTCAGCTGATCAATCCGAGTGCTGGGCCCATAACCATCCTTAGGAGCAATTGTTTTGGACCCCAACTCCAGGTGTTTTGGATCCCAACTCCTAACTCCAGGTGTTTTGGACCCCAACTCCTAACTCCAGGTGTTTTGAACCCCAACTCCTAACTCCAGGTGTTTTGAACCCCAACTCCTAACTCCAGGTGTTTTGGACCCCAACTCCTAACTCCAGGTGTTTTGGACCCCAACTCCTAACTCCAGGTGTTTTGGACCCCAACTCCTAACTCCAGGTGTTTTGGACCCCAACTCCTAACTCCAGGTGTTTTGGACCCCAACTCCTAACTCCAGGTGTTTTGAACCCCAACTCCTAACTCCAGGTGTTTTGGACCCCAACTCCTAACTCCAGGTGTTTTGGACCCCAACTCCTAACTCCAGGTGTTTTGGACCCCAACTCCTAACTCCAGGTGTTTTGGACCCCAACTCCCAACTCCCACCATTCCTAACAGCCTCAGGCCCCTTCCTTTTCTCCCTCAGCTGCTTAATCCGAGTGCTGGGCCCATAACCATCCTTAGGAGCAATTGTTTTGGACCCCAACTCCAGGTGTTTTGGATCCCAACTCCCAACTCCAGGTGTTTTGGACCCCAACTCCCAACTCCAGGTGTTTTGAACCCCAACTCCTACCTCCAGGTGTTTTGGACCCCAACTCCAGGTGTTTTGGATCCCAACTCCCAACTCCAGGTGTTTTGGACCCCAACTCCTAACTCCAGGTGTTTTGAACCCCAACTCCTAACTCCAGGTGTTTTGAACCCCAACTCCTAACTCCAGGTGTTTTGGACCCCAACTCCTAACTCCAGGTGTTTTGGACCCCAACTCCTAACTCCAGGTGTTTTGGACCCCAACTCCTAACTCCAGGTGTTTTGGACCCCAACTCCTAACTCCAGGTGTTTTGGACCCCAACTCCTAACTCCAGGTGTTTTGGACCCCAACTCCTAACTCCAGGTGTTTTGAACCCCAACTCGTAACTCCAGGTGTTTTGGACCCCAACTCCTAACTCCAGGTGTTTTGGACCCCAACTCCTAACTCCAGGTGTTTTGAACCCCAACTCCTAACTCCAGGTGTTTTGGACCCCAACTCCTAACTCCAGGTGTTTTGGACCCCAACTCCTAACTCCAGGTGTTTTGGACCCCAACTCCTAACTCCAGGTGTTTTGGACCCCAACTCCCAACTCCCACCATTCCTAACAGCCTCAGCCCCCTTCCTTTCCCCCCTCAGGTACTTAAGCTGAGTGCTGGGCCCATAACCATCATTGGGATCAATTGTTTTGGACCCCAACTCCCAACCCCCACCTGAGGAAAGGGCCTGAGGCTGTTAGGAATGGTGGGAGTTGAACTCCAAAACACTCCGAGGGCCAAAGTTTGCCCATACCTCATCCTGATAGCAGGCTTCCCACTCAAACCAGTGCTCATAATGACTCTCCTCCGACAACACAAGCAGACCCGTCCCTCCAGGCGCCTCACCTCTTGCTGTTCCGACTGGCTGGCTAAGTGCTCCGGATTGCAAAGGTGCGTGTGCAGGGCATCCTCCGCGGGGACCCCGTTGCAGATGAGCTCCCCGTCTCGGATCCCCGCCGGCGCCAGTAGCGGAGGAGGGATCTTATACTGGGATTTGATAGCGTCCGGGATCTGAGGACGGAGGAAGAGTGAACAGGAGGTGAGTCAATGGAGTGGAGAGCGTCAACGGCCAGCAAGACATGAATGTGGCTGGTGACCAGACCGGCCCCCTTACCTTCAAGCCTTTCCTCTTCATGGACTGGGCCACACGGCGGTTGGGCGGGTGCTTCCTGTGGATCCGGTTGAGGAAGTCCACCTTGACGGCGTGCTGCGAGATGGTGTCCTGGAAGCGGTCGAAGACCCGGCAGCGGTTGCTCAGGGTCATGTTCTTCTGGTTCAGCTGGAGGAGAGACACGGGGGCCGCGGGTGAGCCCAAAGGGGGAGGCCCGCTCTCCGGACCCGGCTCCAGGGCAAGGGGCGGAGGGGGCCGTTGGCTCACCACCACGTGCTCAATGTGGTTCGGACACATCCAGCGGCCCAGGGGCATGGCCGTGAGCGGAGGCTCCAGGCAGTCCATGTGGAACAGCAGCGGGCAGTAGTCGCACTGGATGAGCGGGGCCACCCGGCAGCTCCTGCAAAAGCACAAGGGAGGGGCAAAGTTTGTGTCAGCTCAAGCACTCTCTGCACACCACTTCGGCAAGTGAGTGAGTATTGGCAAGGGCAAACTTTCTAACTTGGGGGCCGCATGCTAGCTGCCCAGGGATGGAAAGAAAGAAGGGAAGGAGGAAGGAAGGGAAGAGAGAAGGATGGAAGGGTCAAAAGGGAGGAAGGGAAGGAGGAAGGAAAGAGAGGGGGGGGGAAGGAAGGATGAAAGGGAAGGGGGAAGGAAGAAAGGAGGGGAGGGAGGGAGGAAAGGAGAAGGAAAGAGAGAAGGAAGGAAGGAAAGGACAAAAGGGAGGGAAGGATGAAGGAGGAAAGAGAAGGAGGAAGGAGGAGAAAAGGAAGAAAAACAAAAGGGAAGGAAGGGAAGGGAAGGAAGGAAGGAAAGGAAGGAAGGAAGGAAGGAAGAAAGAAAGGAAGAAGGAAAAAGAGGGAAGAGAGGGGGAAGGAAGGATGAAAGGGAAGGAGGGAAGGAGAAAGAGAGAGGGAAGGGAGGAAAGGAGGAAGGAAAGAGAGAAGGAAGGACAAAAGGGAGGAAGAGAAGAGTGGAAGGAAGGAGAAAGAGAAAGAAAGACAAAGGGGAAGGAAGGAAGGAAGGAAGAAGAGGGAGAGGGGGGGAGGAAGGATGAAAGGGAAGGATGGAAGAGAGGAAAGGAGGAAGGAAAGAGAGAAGGAAGGAAGGACAAAAGGGAGGAAGAGAAGGATGGATGGAGGGAGAAAGAAAGACGGAAATTTCAAAAGGGAAGGGAGGGAGGAAAAAGAGGGAGACGGGGGGAAGGAAGGATGAAAGGGAAGGATGGAAGGAGAAGAAGGGAGGAAGGAAAGAGAGAAGGAAGGAAGGAAGGGACAAAAGGAAGGGAAGGGTGGAAGGAAGGAGAAAGAGAGAAGGAAAGACAAAAGGGAAGGAAGGAGAAAGAGGGAGAGGAGAGAGGGGTGGAAGAAGGATGAAAGGGAAGGATGGAAGGAGAAGAGGGAGGAAGGAAGGAAGGAAGGAAGGACAAAAGGAGGGGAAGGAAGGAGAGGGAAAGGGAGAGGAAGGAAGGATAGAAGGAAAGGAGAAGAGGGAAGAACAGAATAAATGAAACGCAAAGATACAGAAGGCCTGGCTCGACAGCAGTACATGTGAAAAAGATCTTGGAGTCCTTGTGGACAATAAGTTAAACATAAGCCAACAATGTGATGCGGCGGCAAAAAAAAAAAAAAGCCAATGGGATTTTGGCCTGCATCAAGAGGAGTCTAGTGTCTAGATCCAGGGAAGTCATGCTATCCATGCTTTATTCTGCTTTGGTTAGACCACACCTGGAATCATACTGTGTCCAGTTCTGGGCACCGCAATTGAAGGGAGATGTTGACAAGCTGGAATGCGTCCAGAGGAGGGCGACTAAAATGATCAAGGTCTGGAGAACAAGCCCTATGAGGAGCGGCTTAAGGAGTTGGGCATGTTTAGCCTGAAGAAGAGAAGGCTGAGAGGAGATATGATAGCCATGTATAAATATGTGAGAGGAAGCCACAGGGAGGAGGGAGCAAGCTTGTTTTCTGCTTCCTTGGAGACTAGGACGAAGAACAATGGCTTCAAACTACAAAGGAGATTCCACCTGAAGAAACATTAGGAAGAACTTCCTAACTGTGAGAGCTGTTCAGCAGTGGAACTCTCTGCCCCGGAGTGTGGTGGAGGCTCCTTCTTTGGAAGCTTTTTAAACAGAGGCTGGATGGCCATCTGTCAGGGGTGATTTGAATGCAATTTTCCTGCTTCTTGGCAGGGGGTTGGACTGGATGGCCCATGAGGTCTCTTCCAACTCTTTGATTCTATGATTCTAAGGATGAAAGCATGAAAGGGAAAGAGGGAGGAAAGGAGGAAGAAAAGAAAGTAGGGAAGAAGGGTGGGACAGTGAGAGAGAGGAGGGTTAAGAGAACAGCCCCACTCCCCTGAGGCGATACCTGCTGCAAGTGAAGCAGACCTTCACCGGCAAGGGCACCAATCCGTTGTGGTCCAGCTCGTGCTGAGCTTTCTTGACGTTCTTCCCGCTGGTTTCTTCTTTCCGCCGCCGCTTACTCGTACCTGGCAGAGAAGGAAGGAAGGAAGAGTTATGCTGGAACCCGGGTCGGTGGGAACTGTAGTTCACCCACATCCAGAGAGCATGGCGAACCCCACCAACAAGGGCTCTGGATGTGTACGTGGGGTTTCCTTTTCTGCCTATGTTCCCTGATCAGAAGATTCCACATCCCTTTCCATCCCTGTGAGAATTGAATTTTGCAAAATTTGGCTTGTTGTGGAAACAAGGATTGGGGATAAAGCTTCAGTGGAGACCCCTTTCCCCGCTAATAATAACTCTATCAGTAGCAGGTTTCCATTTGGAGGGGTAAATTTCCCTCACTTGCTGTTGTCTCATCCCTGTTCTTAACTATGAGTCAGATGTTTGCAACTCAGGAACTGTCTGCAGATTACTCATAACCTTATGTCTTCTTGAGTGGGACCATTTCTAACATTTGAAACCAAATGCAAGAACAGGAGGATGGGCTCCCTCACCCAGGTGGCACTCACCTGGCAGGGCCGTGGTGCAGGTCAGCTCGTTGGGCAGCTGGAACTGGGTGGGGTTCCTTTCCATGGCGGCGGCAATGAGCAGCTCGAAGGGTCGCTTGAGGTGGGGCTGCCCGCCGTCCGCCTCGCCCGCCGGGCCCGAGTCTTCGTCCACGTCCACGATGTCCTCGTCCATGTCGTTCTGCTCCGAGTTGGGGGTCTCGGTGCTGGCGTTGGAGGTGGGGGTGCCCGGGCGGCTGGCCCTCCGCTCCAAGAGCCGGGCGTGGGAGAGGGCCCGGAGGCTCCCGCCGCCCCGCTCCAAGTAGTCCACGTCCCGCGGGGGAGAGGTGGCCCTTTTGCCGGACTTGTCCACCAGCCCGTTGACATGCCCGAGCTCCTTCTTCTGCTCCCTCTTCTGCAGGCAAGGCAGACACAGAACAGGTCAGGCCAAGAGGAAAAGAAGGACACACAGCCAAGGAACAGAAGAGAAATCCCTCTCTGAGCAAACTGCTAAAGGAATCGTGGAGGGCCACATCAGCTTCATGGCTGCCTCTGGCACAAATATTAACAATTAACTGGGTAGTTTTGATTACAAAGTGTGAGTCAAGCACTGAAAGACTTAGCAGGCCAATGCCTGTAAAGAATCAGTGAGCCAAAGCTAGTGCCGTCCTGAGGAGTGTGAGGTAAACCTCTGTGTGAGAGAAGCCTTGAATGAGAAAGCTCCATTGTGAAGGCTGCTGCCTGTTAGAATTAGTGAGCCAAAGCAAGTGCTGTCCTGAGGAGAGTGAGTAGGCCGAAGCTTGTCAGAGTCAGTGGGCCAAAGCTAGTGTTGTCCTGAGGAGTGTGGGGTATACCTCTGTGTGAGATAAGCCTGTGTGAGAAAGCTCCAGTGTGAAGGCTGAGCCTATCAAAGTCAGTGGACCACAGCTAGTGTTGTCCTGAGGACTGTGGGATAAACTTCTGTGTGAGAGAAGCCTTGTGTGAGAAAGCTCCATTGTGAAGGCTGCTGCCTGTTAGAGTTAGTGGGCCAAAGTTAGTGCCGTTCTAAGGAGAGTGAGTAGGCCGAAGCCTGTCAGAGTCAGTGGGCCAAAGCTAGTTTACTACTCCACTCAGGAGTGTGAGGCATACCTCTGTGTGAGAGAAGCCTCACATGAGAGAGCGCCATTGTGAAGGCTGCTGCCTGTTAGAGTTAGTGGGCCAAAGCTAGTGCCGTCCTGAGGAGAGTGAGTAGGCTGAAGCCTGTCAGAGTCAGTGGGCCAAAGCCAGTGTCGTCCTGAGGAGTGTGAGGTAAACCTCTGTGTGAGAGAAGCTTTGTGTGAGAAAGCTCCAATGTGAAGGCTCCTGCATGTAAAGCTACTGTGTATTTTTTTATTTGTGTTATGGAAACTTTGTTCTTGTAAATAGTGCAACCATATTATTTTACTACAAGGAAAAGCATCCAAAGAAAGAGATAAAATTGTTCCGTGTGTTTCTGTTCTTTTTATCACTTTGGGCTTCCGGTGCTGGGTCACACTGCTGCTGCTAAGTTACTATGCTGTGTATTTATGGGGAGGGTCTTTTGTTGTTAAGCCTACTTGCCCAACAGCGTCCAAAGGGATGTTGACTCCCCCAGTGGTTTTTGCGTTCTGTTAATCCCACAAACGAACATTACATTTTAATTTATATAGACTAGCTGTACCTGCCATGTGTTGCTGTGGCCAACTTTCCCTCTTTCCTTCCTTCTTTCCCTCCTTCCTTCACTCCCTCTTTCCTTCCTTCCTTCATTCCTTCCTTCCTTCCCTATCTCTTTCCTTCCTTCCCCTTTCTCTTCTGCTGTCTCTCTTTTCTTCCTTCTCCCTTTCCTTCCCTCCCTCTTTCTCTACATCTTCCCCTTCCTTCGCTCCATCTTTCCTTCATAGAATCATACAGTTGGAAGAGACCTCCTGGGCCATCCAGTCCAACCCCATTCTGCCAGGAAGCAAGAATATTGCATTCAAAGCACCCCTGACAGATGGCCATCCATTCCTTCTTTCCCTTTTTTCTTTCCTTCTCTCCTTCCTTGCTTCTCTAACTTTCCTTCCTTCCCCCTTTTTCTTTCCCTCCCTATTTCTCTCCTTTCTTCCTTCTTTAGCTCTTTCCTTCCTTCTCCCTTTCCTTCTTTCTTTCCCTCCCTCTTTCTTTTCTTTCTTCCTCCCCTTCCTTCTCTTTTTTCTGTATTGTCATTTAGCTTTTTGTCATCTAGCTTTTGGGGGCTTTTTAAGTCCCTTCTGCTGTGTTTTTCAGTGTTTTTTTGAGTGAAGGACACACATTGGGGTGTTAGGCTCATTGTGTCCAAATTTGGTGTCAATTCCCCCAGTGTTTGTTGAGTTCTGTTAATCCCACAAATGAAAATTACATTTTTATTGATATAGACTAGCTGTCCCCTGCCACGCGTTGCTGTGGCCCACCTGGGGGTTCTGTGTAGGAGGTTTAGCCCAATTCTATCGTTGGTGGGGTTCAGAATTCTCTGTGATTGTAGGTGAACTATAAATCCCAGCAACTACAACTCCCAGATGTCAAGATTCTATTTTTCCCAAACTCCACCAGTGTTCACATTTGGGCATATGGAGTCTTCGTGTAGAGTTTGGTCCAGATCCATCACTGTTTGAGTCCACAGTGCACTGTCCCCTGTCACGAGTTGCTGTGGCTCACTCTGTGTACATGTCTTTTGTGTGTGTGTATATTTGTGCATATGTGTATATATGTGTGTTTGTGTATATATATGTCGTTTTGTGCATGTGCTGTAATGTATTTTTTATATTTTGGGGGCTTTTAAAGTCTCTTCTGGTCTGTTTTTCAGTGTTTTTATGAGTGATGGTCACTCGTTGGCCTGATACATGTATTGTGTCCAAATTTGGTGTCAGCTCGTCCAGTGGTTTTTGAGTTCTGTTAAGCATCCTGATTGGAGGGAGATCCCAGAGAAGTGGGGAAAAAGCACCCAGAAAACATGGCTTCCCCGGGACAAAAGAGCCAAGGGAGAGGAGAAGTTGTCGCATTTTCAAGAGTCAATATTTGCATTCAGCTGGCGGCAGGAAAGGGCCGGCCGGCCTCTCCGGTGACAAGTTGGCTTCCCTCTGCCCATTTCCCACGAAAAGAAGGAGGGGAGGAGGAGGAGGCCGGAGGTGGGACCATCACTTCCCCCTTGGCTGCCATGGAGACGGCGGGAGGGCATGCCTTTCTTTTCCGAACGGGCTTCCGGAAGGAGCTGGGAGGCTTGGCAACCGAGGCAGCCAGCCTGGAAAGGGGACGGACCCAGGGCAGGGCCTCACCACCGCTGCCCTTGGCTCAGGAAGGAAGGAAGGAGAGAAAGAGAGAGAACCAACCAAGCCTGGGTTTACATGCTAGGCCTCACTCTTGGTGCATTTTGTCTAACTTTTCTGAAGATTTTGCAATGCCGGCGGTCTGAAGTCTTGCTCACTTGCAGACCCATGTAAAGGACACTACAGGAGTTTGGTAAACAAGGCCAGAAATGCATCCAAGTTTAGATTCACTGGGACAAAAGCCAACAGGTTCCTGGACCGGGAGGAAGTTCTGGGCTTCAAGGATTCCCCAGCTGAAAAAAAAAAGCTTTTTCTCCAACCATGCCTACCATCAGCCCCAAAGCTCACACTTCCCCCTCCCCTCACAGTTGGGACTTGCAATCCAAAAGAGGTGAACAGTCAGGAAAGATATTGCATTGTTGTATGTTTTCAGGGCTGGCTGACCATATTCCAGAAGCATTCCCTCCTGACATTTCGCCTGCATCTACATCTATAATGTAATGCAATATAGTTTTATTGTGTCATGGTGTGTTGTTTTATTGTTTACTGTTATTGCTTGGTGTTTGACTTGCTTTTTAATGCTATATGTATTGTTATGTTGTTCTTTTTATTGAGGCCTTGGCCTTTGTAAGCCGCATCAAGTCCTTCGGGAGATGCCAGCGGGGTACAAATAAAGTTAATAATAATAATAATAATAATAATAATAATAATAACAATAATATATTATTATAATTATATATTTATATAACAATAACAATATATTATTATTATATATTTATATTACATGTAACATTACTAATAATATTACAATATAATGGTATGTTGCAATATAGCTGATATTGTACTATGCTAATAATATATTGTATGTAATATATACCTGAGTCCCCTTCCGGGTGAAAAGGGCGGCATAGAAATGTCATCAATAAATAAATAAAAATATAGCATGCATTCTCAGAGGTTGAGGGGTCTGTTGCAAACTAGGAAAATGGAGTTTATAGCCCTGTGGACATCATTCCACAGGGATATAAACTTAATTTTCCTAGTTTGCAACAACCTCTGAGGATGCCTGCCGTAGATGTGGGCGAAACGTCAGGAGAGAATGCTTCTGGAATGTGACCAGACAGCCCGAAAAACTTGCATTGAGAGAAAGGAAGGCAGGGGACACCTTTACCTTTCGGCGCACCGTACAGCGATGGCACATCCACTCGCCCGGAGGCAGCATCTCTTCGCTCAGCGGAGGATTACTGTGGGAGGAGAGAAGAGGACACAGGTTACGTCACAGGCACCAGGCAGGAGGAGGAGGAGAAGAGGCTGGACTGCAAGTTCCACTCTCCACAGGCTGATGGGAACTGCAATCCTAGAACACCCATAAACCTGGCTGCTCCTTCAAGTTTAGACCCAGAATGGTTGCAAAACAAGTGCAACGAAGACTAGTGGTGCATAAACATCTCTGAAGACGTTTTGGAGCTTCTTGCTAGCTTCTCAAACACTTCTTGTGGTGTGGATGGAATTGCTTTCATGATGCCAAGAGACCACCCGCTCACATTGAAGGGCCTGGGGTTCCCAAGCAGTACAACACTCCGGTGATAGTTTCTGGATGCTGTCAAGTCAGAGAAGCAGGGATGGAATGAGGGTTTATTTATTTATCGTGTCAGGAGCGAACCAAACCAACTGTATTGCATTAAAAAACAGACAAACAAACAAAACACAAAATTTGCAGACTTGGTATTGTATTAAATGTCCTTTCACCAGTAGCTAGCCAATGAGAGAAGCCTCCTCGCAGGATTGCGGAGCATCCGGGCCTCCCCTGGGCAACGTCTTTGTAGACGGCGGATTCCCTCACTCCAGAAGCGACTTGAAATATGCAACCAAACAAGCAAACCAACCAATGGCATAAGGGCTGAGCACCACATATATAACAATGGCTGGCTGTAATGGGGAGAAGCAAAGCTGCCAGACTTCAGAAGGACAAGAGGAATGGTGCAAACTTCAGAAGGACAAAAGGAATGGTGCAAACACACACACTGAATCAGGAGGACAAGCCAGTGTCAGGTTGGCCTTCAGCACACAAGGACTCCTTCAAAATGCAGGACAGCCTGCCACCGGATGTCGCTCAGCAGAAGGCGCACACACTGAAAGGTTAATTGCAAGGGCTTTGAATTCTCAGGTTGTATTGTCTTATGTGCGGGGCTTACTGAGGAGCAGTCTGAACTTGGAAAAGCATGCCTGCCTTCCTGAACCACTGGGATGGAGCAAATAAATCAGCAAGGGGTCTGTTTATGATGCTGCAATCACCCTTCCCTCAATCTCCTATTCCTCCATTCAGTCGTGAAGCTCTCCAGCCTCAGCTGAGGGATGTGATGAGACCTGGAGGTGTGCTGCTTGGAAAACACATTACATAAAGATACGCCAGCAATGCTTTGCAGGAGATGCCCGAACACCCGACGTGGAAAGCCACCAGGGAACTCTGCTCTTGACAGTTAAGATTGGATCACAGCCACCCACACGGCAGGAAGGTCCCCGGCTTGCCTGGCACAGAGCAAAACACTCTGCTTCACCAAAAGCTTGATAGTGCCCTGAGCCAAAGCATCAGCCCCCCCCACTGCCTTTGGGCACCCTGTCCTGGGCACATCCGTAGGGAGACCATAAAGCCATTCCCCTCCCAACCCTGCTATACGCCTGCGAAACGTGGACTGTCTACAGTTTCACACGCAACTCCTGGAATGATTCCATCAGCGCTGCCTCTGAAAAATCCTGCAAATCTCCTGGGAAGACAAGTGGACAAACGTCAGTGTGCTGGAAGAAGCAAAGACCACCAGCATTGAAGCGATGGTTCTCTGCCATCAACTCTGCTGGGCCGGCCACGTTGTCTAGATGCTTGACCACCGTCTCCCAAAGCAGTTGCTCTACTCTGAACTTAAGAACGGAAAACGGAACATTGGTGGACAGGAAAAGAGATTTAAAGATGGCCTCAAAGCCAACCTTAAAAACTGCAGCATTGGCACTGAGAACTAGGAAGCCCTGGCCCTTGGGCGCCCCAGCTGGAGGTCAGCTGTGACCAGCAGTGCTGCAGAATTCAAGGAGGCACGAGTGGAGGGTGAAGGAGAGAAATGTGCCAGGTGGAAGGCGCGTCAAGCCAACCCCGACCGGGACCGCCTTCCACCTGGAAACCAATGCCCTCACTGTGGGAGAAGATGCGAGCCAAGAAGAGGGCTCCACAGCCACCTACGAATCTACAAGGAAACCCATCATGGAAGACCATCTTACTCGTCTAACGAGGGATCGCCTAAGTAAGTAAATAAGTCTGGGCACCTTGAGGTCCAGTACCAATGATCTCGGGAACTAAACACTGTCTGCCACTCTCAAGAAGTCACAGTACTTTGAATCCCGCCCGAGTGAGGGCTGATCCATCCTCTCCTTGCTCCAAATGTCTGCAGAGTGACAAGAAGCAATTCAAAGACCATCACCAATGGAACCTCAGTCTCACCAGGTCGCTTTCCTGCGCTTCCACAGCAATCCCCAAACGGTGACCAGGAAAACCAACTCCCAAGTAATCAATCCTGAGGATGGGTGCAGCTTTCCCCCCTTCAAGCCACAGGCTTAGGTCATGCCTCTCTTTGCCATGGCACAGAGAAGCCTTCTTGAGAAACGAGGGCCTGCCAACTGCGCCCAAGTGAGATGTTTTCGAGCAGGAAGGCCACAGCTGGGCGGCACAACTCACGGCTGGCCCGAGGATGGAAATGGCTCAGCAGCAGCAGCAGCAGCAGCAACGGCAATCCCTCCTGCCTGTCAGCTTCCTGTTACAGTCATATTAACCAGGCAGCCATTTTGAGAGCCCAGCTCAGCAATCCAGGAAGCAAGAGGACCTCCGAGCACTATCCCAGCAGCCCCAAGGCAATGGTAATGGGAAGCCAAGCAATGCACCGCCTGGAACAAAAATCGCCTGGAAAGGAAGCAAGAAGCCACAGGTAGCCCCTGACCTCTCAGCAGACAGTTTGAAAGGCTCCACAAAGCTCTCTGGCCCAAAGCCACCGCTAACCTGGAAGGCGTGGGTACGCTGAGAGACACACTCCGTTGCCTTTTGTCTCTCTTGGAAATGCACAACTGCCCTCTTACATCTGACGGACTTGGCCAGCTTATCGCAGACAACCTCAAAGCAGATTTTGGAAGGAAGGAAGGAAGGAAGGAAGGAAGGAAGGAAGGAAGGAAGGAAGGAAGGAAGGAAGGTGGGAAGCCACCCAAGATCAGAGAGCAAGACGGTGGTCATCAAGATCGATTGATTGATCAGCTCCATGGTAGGAGAGTGGCCATCTCAAAAGACAGTCAAGTAGGAGGAAGGAAGGAAGGAAGGAAGGAAGGAAGGAAGGAAGGAAGGAAGGAAGGCAGCCACCCAAGATGTGAGAGCAAGACGGTGGCCATCAGGATCGATTGATCACCTCCATGGTAGGAGAGTGGCCTTCTCAAAAGGCAGTCAAGAAGGAAGGAAGGAAGGAAGGAAGGAAGGAAGGAAGGAAGGAAGGAAGGAAGGAAGGAAGGAAGCCACCCAAGATCGGAGAGCAAGACAGTGGTCATCAAGATCAATTGCTCCGTGGTAGGAGAGTGGCCTTCTCAAAAGGCAGTCAAGTAGGTAGGTAGGTAGGAAGGAAGGCAGCCACCCAAGATGTGAGAGCAAGACGGTGGCCATCAAGATCGATTGGTCAGCGCCATGGTAGGAGAGTGGCCTTCTCAAAAGGCAGTCAAGAAGGAAGGAAGGAAGGAAGGAAGGAAGGCAGCCACCCAAGATGGGAGAGCAAGACAGTGGCCATCAAGATTGATTGGTCAGCTCCATGGTAGGAGAGTGGCCTTCTCAAAAGGCAGTCAAGCAGCAATGGGACCTGGCTTGCAAAACAAAGAAGGCTGCACACACCATCGTCCACCATCTAGCCCAGTGGTTCTCAACCTTCCTAATGCTGCGACCCCTTAATACCGTTCCTAGTGTTGTGGTGACCCCCAACCATCAAATTATTTTCATTGCTACTTCACAACAGTACTTTTGCTACTATTCGTAATGTAAATATCTGATATGCAGGATGTATTTTCATTCACTATACCAAATTTTTCACAAATACCTGATACGCCCAAGTTTGAATACTGCTGGGGTTTGGGTTAGGCTAAGGGTTGATTTTGTCATTTGTGAGTTGTAGTTGCTGGGATTTATAGTTCACCTACAATCAAAGAGTATTCTGAATTCCAACAACAATGGAATCGAACGAATCTTGGAACACTGAACTCCCACGACCAACAGAAAACACTAGAAGGGTTTGGTGAGCATTGACCTTGAGTTTGGGAGCTGTAGTTCACCTACATCCAGAGAGTACTGTGGACTCAAACAATGATGGATCTGGACCAATCTTGGTACAAATACTCAATATGCCCAAAATGTGGTGGAGTTTGAGGAAAATAGACCTTGACATTTGGGAGTTGTAGTTGCTGGGATTTATAGTCCACCTGCAATCAAAGAGCCACTTGAACCTCACCAATGAAAGAATTGAGCCAGACTTCCCAAACAGAACCCACATGACCAACAGAAAATACTGTGTTTTGTGATGGGTCTTTGGCGACCCCTCTGACACCCCCTCACGACCCCTCCAGGGGTCCCGACCCCCAGGTTGAGAAACACTGATCTAGCCGATCTGTCAACATTTGGGCCCAAACACACACTCCCCATGCATTGCTCCAAGACCTCGTGGCTGCAAGGAGACATGGAGGTGGTGCATCTTTTCCTAGAAGGGGATTAATGATTGGGAAACAGCGTGCTTCCCTTCCGCACAGTGGAGCCCTTTGTCAGGAAACGGCCAGGCGAAGGAGGAGCAGCAGCCAAAGCTGGTGGTAAGAGAGAATCCCCCCAACACCCACCTGCCCTTTTCAAACCCCAGACAGACGGGGATTGTTTCATGTCGAAATTGATGCACGCCTGCCTCTGGAAGCCTCCAAAGGCAAGGAAAGTGGTGGGGTGACTTCAAAGCAAGCAGGTCCATGGTTGGTTGTTCCAGACTGGCATTTCTCAAGCTAGGCACAAATATGGTGCCACTCCCTTCCAGTCCTCCAGATCTGGCCAGGGTGGTCCATGCCTTAGTCACCTCCAGATTGGACTACTGTAATGCACTCTACGTGGGGCTGCCCTTGAAAACGGCCCGGAAATTTCAATTGGTCCAACAAGTGGTGGCCAGGTTGTTAACTGGTGCTCCTTACAGGGAGCGGTGAA